GGTAATCGAGCTGATAAGAAGAAAATTCGGCACGGAGTTTATTGTAGTACCTTTGCAAATTTCAAAGGTTAATACCTTGTTAGGATTCGGACCAACGACGGATCAGGCCGAAACGTCGGCGCAAATTTGCACGCTCGCAGCGCTAGCTGTCTGCGCTGCATGTGCGCGCTGTTGGAGAGAGCAAAAAGAGTGAAGAGAGGGCAGAGAAGCAGGCCATATGCGTGACCTCAAAACCCTAGCGGCGCGGTCTCCCGCCATGACGATTTTGGCCTGGTTGGGATTGGGGCAGACTGTAATTACAAGCGCTTCTTTGGAGACAGATCTCATTCTGACAGATAACTTATTGTTAGAACACGGATTATGGCGTCAAAAATGTATGATTTGTAGAATAATTTGGTAAAGACGACATTGACATCTCTTTCATGATTGTCAGGGTGTGACTACCTAGTGATTCTCGTTGTATTTCTCGTTCGCTCCTCAAGCGGCACAACATACGCAAAGGGAGCATTACGTGCGAACGGTTCTAAAGTATATATATCCACAGAACGAAAGTAGAAAAGAGAGATTAACAATAAGGAAGTTTTTACGCACCGCTGAGAGTTATGGCATGCCCTGAATGAGCATCACATCATGCAAGCTGAGGTAGATTAACCTTGAGGTACTTTGATGAATACGAAACAGCCTTAAGATAGAGTGTACCTCAAGGTTCATTTTACCTCGGGTAGCAATGATGAATACGTCCTCTGGTGATAAAAAGACGATGCTTTATCTATGAAAACACCGCTATTTGGTGTATACGAGGAAAAGATGGAGGGCATGAAGTGTACGTAGTGATGCGATAGCGTCTGCTCAGCACTAGCAAATGTAGACTAGAGACTTATACGTGCAATGCATATTCAAGATGAACCGAAGGACCACAAAATCTAGGGAAACAACTTGTGGAACAGCCAAGGAAAACCATTTTCTAGTATCTCCGCCAGAGTATCGAATTCAGCGTTCGCAGTGAATGCACAGTGTGTATAGGTCTTTTAATATGCCTTATATTCGAGTATTTAAAGTGCACTTACTATTGTCATAAACAGTTGTAATATGCCAAATCTTTCAACAAAGTAAAGTAGTTAGTGCCAATTTTCTTTACGATTAGTTGCACTAGCTATAGTTTCGAACTGCTACTGTAAGCTAGAATAAGGAACTGGGTTCCATGAAAACTGAAGTTTTTGGGAGCCGAGTCAAGCGTGTGATGCGATTGGTCAACGAGGGGCCGTAAATGGGAAAGGGATCCACGGTGGGGGTGGAGGAGGGGAAGTAGTCGTAAGAGTGAGCGGGGTGGGAGTTTGGATTAATGACCGTAAGCTTAGGAGAGAATAGTTCAGCAAATAATCATATCATGTTCCTTGCAATGCAATCATAGAATGCTGTGTATCAATGTACCTTGCAATGCAATCATAGAATGCTGTGTATCAATGTTTAACATGAAGACTGGCTTCAAGTACGACTGAAAATTCAAAAAAAAAACTTTTGGAAGCTCGCACACTTTTGAGGGCATGTATGTGTGTAAGAGATGTTAAATCTGCCGATTGGCCTAAAAGTTCTGCTATCGAAGCCTCACTGAAGTCTCACGCACTCGATTGAAGCACATATCTTTACCGACGACTACAGTCAATGATTTGTTCTTTTTGTAATGCCTATCATGCGACGCATACAACTTCGCTGTACTTTGGAGACGCCCTGCTACATTTGAACAATCTGGTTTTGTTTCATAATATGTGGATTTTCTTATGATTTTTATATTGTAAAAAGATTGAAAGAAAGGAGTTGTATGTGGGTCTGAACTACTGCGGAGCCATATAACTTAGCTCGCTGCAAAATTGCTATATCACCACGCCATCCTCCTTCTTTCTATCCTGAGAACTTCGGGGTTTTGTTGCGTCCTCGTGTGTCAAAAAATTTCAAACTCAAAAACCTGTTTTTGATTCTTAGGATCGCATGTAAATTTGCTAGAATAGCACGCAAATTTCCTCGAGTTCACTGCTTTTTAAAGGCTGCAACTTCTTCCTTTAAATCTGGACATTCTGCTGCATATCCATTTCATTGCAGCCTCTTACGAGGGAAGGATACTTGGTGACCATGGCCTTTTGCAAAAACTTGTATACCAGTAGATGCGTCTTGGAACGCTGACTCTGAATCTATGTTTATTATCTGCTGTGCGACTCCCTGAACGAAGTTATGGACTTTTTTCCGTATGGTTTTGCGAGATTTAGGCCATCAAAATCGTCAGTATCCGGCCTTTTTAGACTCAGATGTATCGACAACAATTTTGCTGAGCTTGAGGTGAAGCTTTACTTTATCTGTACGCTCTTTTGTAGTGCGTAAGCGAACATTCTAACGATATTGGTGAATCTTGCATCAAAAACAGTGCAAATTTTGGTGGCAAGAAATGTTCATAACTTCTTTCGGAAGAGCGCACAGCAGATAATGAAAACAGATTTTGAATTAGCGCTTTAAAACGCATTCAATGGTGTACGTCTCATTACAAAAGGCCACGGTCACCAAGTATCCTTTCCTTGTTAGTCTTTCTCTGACTTTAGTTTTCTTTTTTTAATTTTCTAAGTACCTTGCTTATGCACGTTTAGTAGAAAATAAATTTTCTAATCGCAAACATTCATTACGTTTTGAAAACAGCTTCTTTGCAAAAAATGGCGTTGCTTAAGGGGATCGGATCCTGGACTATCATTATAGCCTAGAGCGCTCTTATCTCGAGAACATTGGTAAATGTTTTTCAGTGTTCATTGAAACATAAATGAATTATGCCAAGCACAGAATCGCGCAAGAATTTCTTACCTGTCGTTAGAAAATAAGCTATTTTTAAGTACTCCATTATAACGACCGAAGTAAATTTTTCAGCATTTCTGAATTTTTCTAGCTGTTGCCTTATCTAAATTCGTTGTTTAGGAAGCATCCAAACAGGTTACAGTTTGAATGTCGGGAAGTCCTCCTTCGTCTATTAATGTCCTTTCTCCCCATCTTTTCGCGACGACGACACAGCTCAGCAAATCTTTTTTGAATTTGCCTACTTACCCAGTCTACTCAAAGTTACTTTGAGAGGTTTTTAAGCAATCTATTACCCTAATTTCCGGGGTATAAGGCGCAGTAGCTTTCGCCGCGCGCGGACTGATATATGATGACGCTCGCGATGCGCGGCGTCGCAGCAACCTCCCTCACCCACCAGTGGCTTTTTGCTCCCGTTCTTTGGTATTTTCCTTTTAATAGTAATTTGATTCAGAACAAACCTCTCCTCTTTTATCCTTCAAAAATGACAAAAGTAAAACAAAAACAGCACCTTTAAAATACCAGTAATGTCATTGTAAAGGAAAGCACAGTTTAGTACCAGGAGTTTTACTGGAAATGAAAGAAAAGCACAAATATAGCAGCGGTAACATTGGAAACAAAAGAAGGAATTATCTAAACACTATAAACACTATTGAGAACACCTTCCTCTCACCTGCAGAAACGATTTCAAAGATACATAAATTTTGAGAAGAGTAAAAAAACTTATGAGAAGAGTAAAAAAAGGTAACTGAAGGCATGCTTTATGGGCAGTGAAGTATAACGACAGCACACTGAATTTTCAGCTTTCTAGATCTAGGGAGCAATCGTTTAAAACGCGTCTTCGCGCTATTGTTCGCTGCGGCGGGTGCGCCATATACAAGGTGCGCCTTATACCCCGGAAATTAGGGTACTTGCATTGTTTATAGATAGATTTCTCTTCCTCTAGCGTATGATCTCTAGTTAAAGGCATCGTCCACCATTCTCGACCTCCATGTTTTGGTCGTTCCGGGACCTTCTCATGTCCCTGATTCTGAATATGAAATCGAGAATCCGCGATAACTCCGACAATCCCCGTTCCGGAAAACCCGGAGGCCAGTTCTCCGGGGTGATTGGATGAGTGCGCAGAGATGGGCGGGCATTACTGGAGGAGTGCCCGCCCACCCCTGGGGGCGGGGGGGGGGTGCCGACTTGGAGGTCCAATGTCCCTTCGCTAATCCGTTGCGTCTTCTCGCTTCAAAAGCGACATTTTGCATCGCGACTTGGGTTTTGTTTTGGCTTGATAGGGAGTCCTACCATCATAAGCTGCCAAAAGCTCAAGACTCTCTTCTTGAAATGGACCGTGCCTTTAAAGTCTATTGGCATCCTTTAAGGTGATCTGACATTCGTTAAGGCAGGTTCTAAGCGTTGAGGGGAGGGGGGCGTAAAGGAGGAGTGCATGTCAAGAGGCACGATTGTCATTGTCAGATGGACATCAAATAGCACATAACAATTTTTTATGACTTTTTAAAAAGTTCAAAATTCAGAACGAGCTATTTGAGATGGTTACATAAGTTGAACAATCTTGATACCTTGGAATCAATTCAAAACAGTAATTTTGAAGGTCGGAGATGAGTGGCGTAGTGGTATAAGGCGCCCCTATAACCAGATCGGACACAGGTTGAATACCCGCCCCTGGGCCAACCAATCCCCTTTGGGGCCGGTTAATTGGTACCAGAGTAATCTAGGATGATAAAAGCATTGACGTGGTAAACGGTTGGCCCCGCAAGTCACTGTAATAAGCTCGCACGCATACAACTGCCTCTTCGACTATGAAGTAATGTGCGTTCGGCGAATGCCCGCAGAGGGTATTGAAGACGCCCAATCCTTAATCCTTTTATCCTTTGATTTTGAAGGTCAAAAACCCATGAAAATGCAATTGAGAACAAATCTCAAATATTTCGGTCCATTTTCGAGCAAAAGCAACCAAATTCAGCAAGTCATGACCTCATACAGATAGTAAGCTGATGCTTTGTCTGGTACTTTTTGAAGACTCGCGTAGACTAGGCAGAAGCCTCTTGACCGTCTCCCATAAAAGAGGGAGTCCCGGATTTCATCAATACGTTCGACCAAGGAAGAAATGTACAAATGATGCATTTTGGCTACCATTTGTGTTAACACTGCCTTGTTTTCAGGTGTATTTCACGCGTAAAAACAGTGACAAAAAGAGACAGTTTCGCAATTGCATGGACAAAATGCATGTGGAAAATGGTGTCCTTGATAAAGAGACAGACTACGAGGTTAAGGTGGCTTGGTCTAATCGGTATTCCGACATAACCGATTTTTCGGAAGCGAAGCCGTTCCGAACTGGGTATGTCATTTTTGTCATCAGTTCGCAATGTAGCTGCTCCGTTCAAGATTCGGTTACCCATCAGCCCCTCGCGGTGTTCAAGCAGTGGCTGTGACCCCGGATACGGTATATCTTTATTGGAACTTGCCAGAGACGCTAAATGCTCCTATCTCGGAAATCAAATACAAGGTAGAAATTGAAGGTTTGAAGGCAGTGGCCCGGGAAGATTGTAATTACGAGCTTTCCGTTTATCCTTGGCATTCTGGATGCGCTGAGTCTAGGGATGTGCTTGAAAAGTTAGAAAGGAGCACTTGATGACGTTTTCCGGCCTTGTTGCTGGAGGGGATGGGCGAGCTATCGCCAACTGGTTGCGATTTGCTGCCTGAACAGATCAGCCAATTGCCTCCAAAATGGGTGAAATTACAGAATCCTGCAGCCAGTCGCTGTTTTTGGCAGGAATCCCTCGCCCAGCACCCTCAGCAACCTCCAAGGCAGGAAAACGCCGAAAAAGCACTTTTTGACTTCTCAAGCACATCTCGTACTCAGCCGATTCAGAAGGCCATGTAGGTGCGAAAAGCACACACGCACAATTTTCCCGGGATACTGCCTTTAATGATCGAATTATCAATTACATCGTTTGTCTAGGTTTTACAACAAGCGTCGACCCTCTCCTCTCCTTCTACAATCGCTGTGCGAGAGTACATGGATGGGAATTTTTCTCCAAACACATCGGATTCAGCGTCATGCTTGATCAGTCCCTGCCAGGTTAAACTTCCGGACTTGAGACCAGGAACTGACTACAAGTTTTGGGTTCGTTTCGATTATTTCGCATCTGTGAAGCATCATTTTAAACGCAAATTTCACTTTTCAGGTACAAGCAATTCACAAATCTCACTTGAATTCACAGTTCGAGGAACCCGATGCTCTTTCTCAAGAGGTTGATTCAAATTGATCAGTATACCTTGCCGTTCTTTTGTCGGTATAATCCGATAAGAGAGTCTTACCTTAGTTATTCGACAGCTGCTTTTTTGCAAACACGTAAAAGTCTTCAATAACCTTTGGTAATGTTGCTTATACTGGCACTGATAATGCTTAGTTTTTTTTATAGTTTGGCGATTTGGACATTAGCGGACAAAGTTTACAGGCGCAATAAATTTTGCGAAAATGATTGACTTTTGTGCCCTAGCCACAACTCTCTTTTATGCATATACCCGTATCTCCTGAAATCGACCTGTCTATCAGAGTGGATCATAGCAAGATTTTTTTGAAACCAGCTGTATGCTAGATTCCGCTCTGTCCCCTCAGTAGTCATGCCAGAATAGACTCACTCATTCTGCCCAGGCTTTCCGTGTTAGTTCTTTCTTCCACTGCCAAAAGTGCAAACTTTGATTCCATTAGGATCATTTAATGATCAACCTAATGAGTGCCATGTCTACAATCTTCAACCTACCGTGTGACTAATTTCGGCCTTCGCAAGCGATAAAGAATTTATCGTTGTGTAAGATATCCATCTTGTAATTTATGTGATATCCAAAAAGCTTACTGTTTTCGTTTTTTTTACATCGTTAACTGCTCGAGCGCACTAATCAGATCTCAAGTTTCAAAAAATAAGAAATTATTACAAACTTGACAAAACCAGTAAAAAAATGTCTGCGCCATTCACCCTCCCTAATCCTCCCTTCCCATAAAAAATCAAAATATGCACATTTGCTTCATGTCTGTTGTGTTAGTTCTGAAGAAAAGAAATAGCAAGTTTACAAACTTTGATGCTTCTATTGCTTTTTTCTTTTTGAAAAAAGTGCCAAATTGTACTTGTTTATGCCGAAAATGGAAAGATATAGAAACGCTAACAAGCAGTATCATCGATTTGCAATCAGGCTAACCCTAAATGTGTCCACACGTAAGGCATGAGCAGTTTGTTGTTATTGTTCACGCCAACTTCGTTTTTTCCTGGCTACATTTCTTGGCAATCCCGCAACGCTTCCACCCCCCCCCCCTTTTTTGCACAAGACTATCTTAATGGACAAGACACACACAAGCTTTCTTCATAATTCTACAACATACCATTTTAAAATTTGAGTAGTAATCGCTGCTTGTCGTCTCTAGGCGTCTGCCCGCACTAAAGACATTCCTGGGACACTCAAGCCCGACAATGTGACTGGTTCATCGCTACTGCTCAGATGGAACAGTTTGCAAGCAGAGCAGCTACCTAACAGCATATCAGTGCAATACAAAGAGGCCAGTGATTTCTGCTACGCATTACTCCTATGTGACACAACACTTCCCATTAAAGATCCAAAAAAAAGAACTTTTTTAGACTGCTTCTACCGGGAAATGGAAGACTCCGTCAAACGCATCGTTCGATCCCTCTCTAACAACGATATTAGGTGAGCTGTAATCCAGATGAGTTATTGATCTTCGCTATTCTTCCTTACAGTGCGTATCAATGGGCTTCTCTCTGCCACTTCGTATGATTACCGTTTTGTCGCAAACTACTCGGGAACGTACACAATTGAAAGCAAACCGATACCATTCGAAGAATCGTATTATCAAGCAGTTAAACAGCAAAAAACCAAAGGTACGATCTTGTTCATTCACCTACATCCACCCTCTCCAGCGCTCGGTAGCACAAGAATGTTTTAGAAATCTCGACTAGGTTCTTCGCATAATATTAGGTTGTAACATAAGTCTTGAGACACTCTATATTCTTTGGTGATACGTCATGCAGTTTACATTTTCGATAGGTGTTTATGGCACCATTCGATAGAGCAAAGCAATCCCTACAAGGTGGTCTGCAAAAGTTCGCCCCAACTTCGACCGATTTTAAGTTTGCATCCAGAATGTGAGCGTACTGAAGGCTCAGAGAGTCGCAAAAAAATCCATATCTTCGTTCAAAAAAATCCTACGAATCTCCAACTTGCTCACAAAAATTGCACGTTACATCAAACACTCATATGTACCGTTTTTTCTTCCTCATATATAAGTCGAGTAAACGCAAGTTTTCAAGGCTTTACAAAAATGAAACTAAGCTGTTTTTACTTGTGTAATCTTATATATAAAGCTGAATGTCTGTCTGTATGTCTGTCTGTATGTATGTCTGTACGTATGTGCGGAATAGAAATTTTTATTTCTGAACCGAGCGGGACCAAACTTGGCACACATATACTTCGGGGCAGGGAGCGTGTCATAGGCTACTTTTCGTTATCGATCGATATCGATTTTATCGATTTTTATCGATTTTTTTGCTGAGTTCACCTACGGGGCCGGGAGTTGGCACAGGGAGGTAATCGAGCATGGGGATTCCGAATACAATATTGGTTTTCAGGATTATCGATTACTTTTATCGATTTTATCGATTTTTTTGCAAAGTTTGAGCTACGGGGCTGGGAGTTGGCACAGGGGGGGGGGGTAATCGAGCATGCTGATCACCCCCAAGGGGGGTGATCAGCATGCTCGATTACACCCCTGTGCCAAATTCCAACCCCCTAGCTCAAATTTTCAAAAAATCGATAAATTTGATAAAAGTAATGGACGATCCTGAAAACTAATATTGTATTCGTAATCTGCATGCTCGATTACCCCCCTGTGCGAACTCCCAGCCCGTAGCTCAAACTTTGCAAAAAAATCGATAAAAATCGGTAAAATCGACATCGATCGATAACGAAAAGTGGAGTATGACACGCTCCCTGCCCCGAAGTGTATGTGTGCAAAGTTTGGCCCCGTGCGAAGCCGGGTACGCCAGCTAGTTGTATACTAAAATCCTTATAAGTATAACCGTAGATTTTTAGCTCTCCATAGGCCTTACTTTTCGAGAAATATTGATTTTAGCATGAGGTACTGGAGTAAGGAGAGCTAAATTCTGTAATTTTTGAAAAGTAGGGCCTATGAAAAGCTGAAATCTGCGGTTATACTTATAAGGGATTGTAGTATACAATTACATAAGTGAAAACAGCTTAGCTTTGTTTTTGTGAAAACTTTCATTTACTCGATTTCTGAATGAGAAAAAAATTCAGGGACGGTACATATGAGTGTCTGAAGTAGTGTGTGATTTTTGTAAACAAGTTGGAGATTCGTAAACTTTTTCGAACGAGGATATGAATTTTTCGCGATTTTTGAGCCTTCAATACGACTCACATTCTGGATGCAAACTTAAAATCGGTCGAAGTTGGGGCGAACTTTTGCAGGCCATCTTTTAGGGCTTGCTTTGCTCTATCGAATGGTGCCTCGAAGACCTATTGAAAATGTAAACTGCATGACGTATCGCCTTAAGAAGTTAGAGTGTCTCAAGACTTATGTTGCAGCCTAATATTTTTATAAACCGTGTTGATGCTACATTTGGAGTGGACGAAAAGTCACCCTCTCATATATTGAAAAATTCGTGTCGATAGACTGCAAGCACGGATGAAAGGAAGTTTCTTCGCACACGGCTGAGAGCAGGCCGGATATCATCTGTTGTTGTAAAAATCTACAACCACATTCGAATGCCCTGTTTTTGTGTGATGAAGTGACGACCTCCTCAACCAAGTTTTAGCGAATGAAAGCGCTGAATGTACTGCCGAGGTGCCTTTAAGGACAAGGTGAGTACTTTCAGGGCGCGTTATCATCACGGAGGCCTAAATTCATCCTGCATTCGTTCTTCTACCATCACTTTATTCTCTGTCAACCATCATCCGCTCCCCCCCCCTTCACACCCTATAGAAGTCTCTCCACTAGAACGTGACTTAAGAGGTCTTTTACAGCTGGAGTGCCCACCGCGCCATTACATGTGGAAGCCAGAATGGACGACGAAGGCTGGATAGTATCATGGAAAGGACCATCAAGTGACGGTGGATCACCCATCACCAGTTATGCTGTTGAGGTAAAATATTCACAAGGCACGGATTAATGCCAAATTACCAATCCCAGATGAGGCATAACCGTTCGTCGGAGTGGGAGATTGGGGAAAGAGGGCTAGATGCTTGGAGAGTGTGGTGGAGACCTGCGAAGAGTGACCGACGTAATTGGGAATTTCGGGTGCGAGCGACAAACGCCGAAGGATTTGGTGCTTATGGCTACTCCAGCGATAACGCTGGTAAGATTAAACTAACGTAATAAGTTCTCTACTACTAAATGTTTTGCAGCACCTCCGACTATAGAACAGTCAACACAGTCATGGCTTTACGTTGTTCTTTTTGTCTCTCTTATCGCGATCATCGTGCTGTTGTCTCTAATATTCTTGATGAGTGAGTTCTAGCCAAATGCAATATTTGATCGAACCGTTTTGAGATATTGGCCACTATTTAGTGCGAGCTAGAACGCGAGCAGCTCGATTGAAAAAAGAACGCACACAGGACAAAAACTGCATAACCTTGGAAAAAATTGCTGGTCTTCACAGTGCACCGTACCAGCCGATGCCTCCTGAAATGCTTAACGAAATCAAAAGTCAGTTTTCTGAGTTGATCATTTTTTCTGCACTTTTCAAATATGAAGTTTATTTATGTACAGCATGAACTTAAGATCTCCCGCATGTACGCTCAGACTATATCCGCTTAGAGAAGAAGCTCGGCACAGGAAGTTTTGGGGAAGTGTGGGAAGGTGTCGCTACTAAATTACCGATGAGAGACAGAGAAACAAAAGTAGCTATCAAGGTTTGTGTGTTTGGCTAGAGTCGCGCATGGACAAGAATTTACAATTGCAGACTCTTCGTCAAGGTTATGAAGAAGCGGAGAAGATAAAGTTCATAAAGGAAGCCATTCTCATGAAGTAAATGCTCGCTTTTTTCTTTTTTCGTACTATCGAGGTGCTAATAGTGTCTCCGAAAAGCGCAAAATAATAAATTCAGGAAATGCCAGTTCTTTTCAGTAACTTCGATCATCCAAACATAGTAAAACTTCTCGGAGTTTGCATGGAAGGTCCAAAAGAATATCTCATTCTTGAACTTATGGAGGGAGGAGATCTCCTAAATTTTCTAAAAGCCAGGTAAGTACTTTTTTCTTTGATGAGCCGCCATTGAGAAGAAGCATTTTTGATAAATGTTCGGGTTTGTAGAGCGTCTACTACCTTGTGCAGCACTGTCTTTGTTAAATAGATAGGTTAATAGATTAATGATAACATAGTATGGTACTGTTTCGCCTTTACCCCTGTACAGGTATCAAGATGAGTAAACACTCCCGAAGCATTTCAGTGAGGAAGAGTGGCTTGAATGGAAGACTAATGGTTTAGCTTTGAGCGCTGCTGTTTTTATGCCTCAAGGTTTATATACCGTTCGGATAAAGCAAAATATAATATTTATTACCCACAAACAAGATCAGAAACACGAAAAAAAGTTTTTGGATTACATGCTTGATAAAATGTTCAGAGTTTTTAAAATGAGTGAAGTACCGGGTACTTATGGAAAATACATTTACTGAAAGTAAGGCATATTATAAACGCATCTGCGATAATATGAAAATTATAATTAAGTGCGTAAAGTTCATATACTAGAAGCAATAGTCTTTGTTTGAAACTGTCAAGCTTGTGCAAGTTTTTATTGACGGAAAAATTGAAGTAATCAGTCTTGTTATGCTGTTCTGTGTATATTCTGTTATTTCTAATCATAATTTCCATATCAAGAAAGTTACAATTACCATTACTTAAGTGTGTGCTTTCTAAAATATTGTTATATGTATTATCTAGCATGTTCAAAACGCGGTCACTTTGATTATGAATAATCTATAAGTGATCCATATATCTAAAAGTTTGAACAAAAGAGCCATATACATATTCTAAGTACGAAAGCATTGAATCTGCCAAAACGAGCATTGCCATCTTGTGGTACGCCTATCTTTTGTTTGAAAATGTTTTGTCTAATTTTTCTATAACTGTTATCAAGCAAATATTCTAACAAAGCACAACTTAAGGTGGCAAATTGGTACCGCATATTATTGAGTGCATCTTGATGAGCTGATTCCAAATCTACTTTCCATATCTGCGATGCCGTTATCTGCAAAAGTTATGAGCGGCCGAAAATGTGAAGTTATTGGGTTTCAATGCATAATGTGCTTCAAAACCAACCTGTTTGACTAGCATGATATAGTGTACTGATTTCAGGGAATGCTCACATTCTAGGAAAATATAAATAATCTTAGACAATAATTTTCGAGGTATGGCGCTGTATATTTGCCAAATTTGGACTTCTCATTGCTCATAGCTTTTACCAAAGAACTGTAGTTGCTTTTTAGCTATTCAAATACACTTATTTGTATTTCTTTTGAATGTGAGTATTCCTTAAAATCAGTACACTCAATATTATGCTAGTCATGCACTTCCAAGTTGGATTTTAAAGCATATTATGCATTAAAACCCCAATAACTTCACATTTTCAACCTTTCATAACCTTTTTCCAGATAACGGCATTGCAGATGCGGAAGGTAGATTGGAATCAGCTCATCAAAGGCGCTCTGGTGTACGCGATTCATTCCAGTTCGCCACCTTAAGTTGGGAGTCGTTCACTGTTAAGAGATAAATGATATATTACATTTGATAGCTTCGTTGTCCACTGTTGTCTCTAGAGTTTAGAATAGTAAACAGTTCTGCCACTGCAAGTTATGTATGTACTACTACTATTTTTGAAGCAAATTTCACTACTTTAATAAGATTATGTAGAACTAGCTGGCTTACCCGGCTTCGCCCACCCCTGTCATAACACTATGATAAAACTCTTACTCCTACCCCTGCACAGCCTTTCCCTGTGCCCACTTCTACATACCAACTCCCTATCTCGCTGTGTTAGTTATAGCATGCTCAATTATCCCTGTGCGAATTCCCAGCCCCGTGGTTTAAAATTTACAAAAAATCGACAAAGTCGATAAAATCATTGGGTAACTCCAAAAACTAAAATTGTATTCGTAATTAGCATGCTCGATTACCCCCTGTGCCAAACTTTACAAAAAATAGACAAAAATCGATAAAATCGATATCGGTCGATGACGAAAAGTAGCCTATGACACCCGCCCCGCACTGAGGTGTACGTGTGCAAAGTTTGGTCCGGATCGGTTCAGAAATAGAATTTTCTATTCGGAACATACATACAGACATACAGACAGACAAACAGACATTCAATTTTAGATATAAAATGAGGATATGGGGAATATTAGTAAACACGTTGGTAAAATCTCCCGAGAAAAGTCGTAGCTTGGAAATGTTTGTATCATTGTAGACCAACATGTTTCAAGACTATTTTTATTATGTCGAACTATCGTGACGCATAATAAATACTATATATACGCATAATAAATATACGCATAATTTCTTCAGATAAAAATTGCATACTACTATTTGAAGCTCCTGTTATAAACCTAAATTACTGGTGTTAATGTAGTTTAGGTAACCAATAAATGGAACAATAGGATTGTTTTTAGTTTTGAATTCAAATTGCGCATAAACTTTGAATGTTTAGTTATTGTACTGTTAAGGTTGGTATTAGGAATATAATTGCGGTCGACCGAAAATTGCTGGTATCTTCTATTCTCATTTCTCGCATGAGAAAGGTCAAGTAAAAACTTACAGTCTTAGTCTTACAGTCTTACAGCTTACAGTCTTCTTCAACCCGGAGTAGGCGAAACATTCAAGTGGGGCAGCAGCCACCGCCACTGGCTTAGCGAGATAGATTAAAATGAAGAGACACAGATGCAAAGCGGCGCGAATCGTTGCAAAGCGGTCTCCCACGTCCAATTTTTGCCTAAACTTAGGTGAACCTTACTGCAAATTATACCATAATTTGAGCTAGCCTTATCAAATGGACAGAATTGAAGAAATTTTGGATTTTTTTGATTTCACGGATAGGAAGTATACAGTTAACTAACATAGAATTGTAATGTATAAGTCTGTTATTATTGTTGAGAAAATGTCTGCATAATACTTACTTAGATTCTTAGATGGTACTGAGGTCCTCACGTGACGTGCGGACCTCAGTACAAAAGTTTCCACTGATCCCTGTCCGTCGCTCCGGGCATCCACGATCTTCTCGGTCGTCGTCGGTGGCTGCGTCCACAACTTCCGGAGGCGAAAATCGTATCCAGCTGCTTTCTCAGTTGGTCCATCCGTTCCACGAACACGTCTTCCCATCTCGTATGGTCTTCCTCGGGGACATTTGGATCCGCGAGGAATCCACTCAGATGCTCTCAGTGTCCATCTACCGTCTGTTCTTCTCATGATGTGACCGCCCCATCGATGTTTCGCTTTCGCAACGTATTCCGCTGTGTTACGAAGACGGGGCATTCTTCTCATATCCGTACTGCGAAGTCCGACTAGATGTTTGTGTCGGGTCATCTTCAGAAGACTGAGTTCGAGCGCTCTGCAGGTGGTCTGTAGAGCTTTCGATGTGGCTAGTTCTCAGCCCAGGTTTTCGCTGCGTAACAAAGCGCCGGGAGAACGGTTAAGTCGAACAGGTGGGCACGAAGCTCTAGGTCCGTCGGTTGATCGGTGGCTTCCTTCAAAGCCCCAAATCGGTTCAGACCGCTCTTCTTCTTCTGTTAAGTTCTTCCCTCAAGTCGTTCTCGTTCATCGAACGTCCGAGATACACGTAAGAAGACGTCTCCGTGATAGAAGTGCCTTCCAATTCCATTTTTACATCTTCGCAAAGGGCGTTCTTCATGAACTGAGTCTTCTTCCGGTTGATTCGCAATCCGATCTTCTTCCCTACTTCATCAGTTCCTTCAGCATCGTCTCTGCTTCAGTGATACTGCTCGAAAAGAGAACAATGTCGTCCACAAAACGAAGGTTCGACAGGAACTTCCCATCAACTCGTATGCCTCTCTCGTTCCAGTCCAGTGACTTCATCACCCACTGCAAGGCCGTGGTGAACAGCTTCGGCGAAATTGTCTCGCCTTGTCGGACCCCCTTTCCAATTGGAATGGTCAAGGGGCGATGAAACAGCTGCATCGTCGTTGTACGGTCCTTATAGTAGTCGGCTAGTATCCTCACATAAGCTGGGTCCACTCCTTGATCAACTCGCAAACAGGATGGTATTGGTTTCGACACTTCAAAGGCTTTCTCGTAGTCGACGAACGTTAGGACGAAAGGCAGTCGGTACTCCCGGCAGACTTCTATGACCCTCGAAGCCGTCTGGATGTGGTCCATGCAACTGAATTCTTTGCGAAGCCCAGCTTGCTCTTGGGTTGGGCTTCATCCAGTGTCCTAGATATGTGGACGAGCATAATCTTCGTGAAAAGCTTGTACCGCACACTCCATATTGGACAGTAGTTTCGAAGTAATCTCGTTCACCTTTCTTGAAAAAAAAAGACGGTTTTTGACGCTCTCCACTGGTCGAAATTTTTCTAGTAGTGCAGCCAGCGGTACATGGTATTCTCAGAGGTCCCTTTGGCATTTCTTGAGACTTCGTCTTCCTTCGGCTGCTTCCAGTATCTTGGCTCTGTACTTTCTTAGATCCTTCTGCAAAGCTGTTTTGCAACTGGCGTTGACTATCAGTCACTCGAGATGGGTTGCATTCGGATTCTGCCTCAGAAACCTTCTTCTTTGGAGCAATTCCTTGGTGATCTTTGAAATACGTTCGAAGTTCTTCTCAGAAGTCACCGAGGCGCACTCTCCGCAGGCTCGCAATCCTTTCAGAAGCCGGTCGTAGTCGTACGCTAGGTCCTCCTCGATAGGCCAGCCACAGCTTGATATAAGGTCTTCCAGCCTGTTACCGTCGTAAACGACTTCCTTCCTTCTCGCGGCACTGTAACAGACTTTCTTTTCCAGCCTTTGGCTGAGTCGTATCTTCGCTCAAAGGAGGCGGTGATCGGAGCCACTGCAGAAGGATGGAACTACTGAGACATCGAGCAAGCTCCATCTTCGGTTAGTGAGAATCTGGTCGATCTTCGCGTGAGTCGTTCCGTTGGGCGATTCCCATGTCCACCGGCGATGTTCTTTCTTCACAAAGATGGATTTTCCATGGAAAAGTCTTGCGGCGGAGAGAAGCTCAACAAGACGGTTGTCGTTTTCGTTCCGGAGCCCCTATCCAGACTTACCGCTATATTCCTTTTCTAGTGCCATCCCGATTTTCGCATTGAAGTCGCCCACAACATAATTGTAGAAGGAGTAAGTTTCAAGTTTCCTCTTTTGCTAACCTCGGCATTTGATTTCGATGTGTTAGTAGGTTAGTAGGTTAGTAAGCCGAGCGAGGTTAGTACTTTATTAGTTAGTGGCGGCCTGATGTTTCGACTGGATCGTCTTCTTCAGAGGCCTCCTCCGCCGCTGCCGCGTAGATGTCGAATGTGGCCGTTCTCGAGTGCCACTAGTACTAATAGTACTAAAGTAGATAGTAGTTGATGATGCTGGAGGGCGTAGTCGTAGGATGGCTACTCGGGGTGATAGGATCTCGTGCGAAACGACAAGATGGACGATAGATGGGTAAACGACAAAGCCAACCCCTCCCACGTTTTGTGATGGAACCTTCTCACCACGAATGATGAGCGTCCATTATTCATCTGTCGCACGTCCTTCTTCCTGGACTTCGTTTCTTGCAGAGCGATGATGTGTACTCGATGCGCTCAGCAGTGTCGAGAAAAGCGTGGAGGTCGGCGTTTATAGAGACTGTCCTGGTTTGTAGGTGCAGAGCATGAGCTAGTCTCCATGGCGTCCGGGCAGACGTGTCGTTTTTGTTCAATTCAAAAGGCGCCCTGAGGACCCTGACATCGGTCTTGCTAAAACCCGGCGCCGTAGGCGGGATCCGCTGTGCAGGGTCTGCATAATGTGTTGTGAAATGTTTGAAACATTAAGAGACTGTCTATTTTTATTTTTACCAGCAACTGTTTCAAAGAAATCCATTCAGAATTTTCTAATCTGAGTAGATGAACGAGAAGGAGAACGAAACTTGATACCTTTGAGAAGAGAATCATGTATAGGACTATTTGAAAAGCAATATTACCTGTAACTATAAGCTTATGATTTGGCTCTATGAAACGACTGTAACGTAAAGGCTGCTGCATGACGAAGGCGCAATATCTTCGCAATATCTATATCTACAATATCTACGCGCGCGTCGCGTTCGCACACGCTTGACTAATATTGCCATTGCGCCTTCGTCATGCAGCAGCCTTTACACACATATGCAAGTTAAACTGATAATGTTCATATGATCAAGAGAAGTCATAAAGTTTGTTATAATTATTTATATAGCTAGAAAATTGTTTGGTGTAATGATATATTAATCTAACGGGTAGATTTTGCTTAGTACTTCTGATTGTTATTTTGTTTTTTTACTGTTTTATTATTTACTAGCTGGCTTATCCGGCTCCGCCGTATGTTCCGGATAGAAAATTCCATTTCTTAACCGATCCGGACCAAACTTGGCACACATACATTTCGGGCCCCGGCGGGTGTCACAGTCCACTTTTCGTTATCGACCGATGTCGATTTTATCGATTTTTTGAAAAATTTGAGCTAGGGGGCTGGAATTTGGCGGAGGGGTGTAATCGAGCATGCTGATCACCCCCACGGGGGTGATTGGCATGCTCGATTACCCCCTGTGCCAACTCCCAGCCCCGTAGCTCAAATTTTGCAAAAAATCGATAAAATCGACATCGATCGATAACGAAAAGTGGACTGTGACACCCGCCGGGGCCCGAAATGTATGTGTGCCAAGTTTGGTCCGGATCGGTTAAGAAATGGAATTTTCTATTCGGAACATACGTACACACATACAGACAGACAGACAGACAGACATACAGACAAACAGACATTCAGCTTTATATATAAGATTACTCTATTTACATTGACTTTATCGAATATAGTGCTATAAAAAGAATATTTTATGCTTAAGCAACTAGTTTTGACTGTTTCGAACCGTGGCTTATCGAAGTGTTAGTAGCAGAGTATACTACAAAGAGCATATTTGAACTCAGTGGGAAGGATAAGTTGAGTATTGTTGAGTATTATAATGTTTATGAGTGTGGAAATGTAATATTTATTTCTACTTTTTATGATTTTATATAATTGATAAAAAGACGAAATTTTGCAAATTTTGCTATTTTGCAATTTTGCAATTTTGCAAACTTTGCAGATTTCGCACTTTTGTAAGTTTTCCTTTCGCAATGTGTGAATGTTATTATTATTGTTATTATTAATATTATTTGGAAACTGCGTGGCATTGAAACGTGAATGCTTGTTGGTGATTGTAAATAAGGCTCCGTGAAGTACCACAATCATCACCTGATGTTTCTTATACTGTGAGAGTGAGAGTCCTCTTATCTCGTGCCAAAATCGAATTTACATGAAAAATTGTGCGACCATCAACTTTCTTATTTTTTTCATAATTCCATTGTCTCCGGACGTAAAATGGGAAAAATGAGCTTTTGACAAACCCTTAAAAAAACCTTAGGAATAATCTTAGCTAATATCGTGACAGCGGAGCGAGGGAAATTTTTGAAGTATACTTACATGGGTTATAAAAACGTGCAAGTGGCTTGTTTATTCTTTTGATTAATCAAAATATTTCTGAAATTTTGAAAATTCATTTTACCTTCATAAAAATTTTTTTGGGGAGCGTGACTACCGCCACGCCTCCTATTTCTAGATTTGGCAGGTTATGGGCCGCAAAAATTCTAAGAAGCATCGTAAAACATTATTCGAGTGCGTGGCTAACGTAGCGTATCTTCAATTGAAAAAAAATTTGCCTCCCTTTTCCCGGACGGAAAACCTGGGACCGCCTGGAAGAGCTGAAAAAGCTCCAATTTAACACGTTCGGACCGTTAAATCGCGCGCGGCAAAAAGAGAGTACTTTCAGTTATTAGCCAACAAAGGGACCTTAATTCGGAGATTATGTGCTACTTCTGTAATCAATACGTCAGATAAGATCCATACCCAGAGTTCTGAATGAATTCGAAGTGTTTGAATTTTGTATGAGAAGTACTTCCATGCTTTCTTGGAAGATAGGAACAAGAACTCAGTTTTTAATTGTATCCAAAACTATCTGTGTTGTACACGATACACATCGTTATTGGATCTACAGTTTTTCTCTTTGTATTTAAAGCTAAGAAAAGTTGCGACGTCGCACGCGTCGTTCGCGTTGCCGCACTTCGTTGCAACTGATATTCGATTTATCCTCATATCTACTGAATAAATATCTATGGCGCAGCTCTACAGACCCTTTCGAAAAGGAGGAGCTTAGGCCTTTGATTTGATAACCTTGGACAAAAAGAAAACCTCCTGTAAACGTTAAAAAAATCCGTCAAAGGAGCGTGCTGCACCACGTGCAGCACCGGTCCGAAACGTGTTAAAAGCTCAATTCTATTAGAAGAAATCTAAGGATACAGCGAGCTTGATGTTGAAAAAAAAACTTTTCTTTTTGCTTTTACGCCACACGTATAGTAACAGTTCAGCTCGCCCACGGAATCGTTCCCATCACAACTGTCGCTGCGTGATGTCCTGTCCATGCTTGTCGACATCGGAAGAGGTGGTGCCTACCTGGAGTCGAATCGCCACGTTCACCGCGACCTGGCAGCACGAAACTGCCTGATCAGCTCCAAGTCGCCACATCCACGACGCGTCACGAAGATAGGTGCGCTGCATTTCCCTCCAGAACAGAACGACGCTGACCCCGATGAAGGTGAATCGCTGCAGATTTGCAGTGCTTTGTAGAGTCGCTGTACTCGAGTTCTCATACACCTGCCACGATTTAGTGTAGTCTAGCGTGCCTTCACCTGCAATGATAGATATCTAGATTTTGCACATTCTAGCACACTAACAACACATCTCTTCACACACAAAAGAACTTTAACGAAACATCAGCGTGCTGAAAGCTTCCCTCTCATTGTTCGTATGTCCGCTATCAAAAAAGAACATGAAACTCTAATTTTCTTGTATACGATATCTCATTTCCAAAATGCGATTCTCCAAGTGTAGGAGTCCGAAGTAGAAGAATATCCTTGCTGCCGCCACCCACCTATAACCTCTTAATGATTTCATTGGCGCCTTGCACGCTTGAAGGCAGTGTCCCACCAGACTGGTTCTTGAGGTTTTTGCGAATAAGCCTTTCGATCTTGTATAACCCGCTAAACTCAAACACAAAAGACTCATGCGGTTTTTTGGACTATAAAGACATAATTCAAGGCATAATTGCAAATTCTTTGAATGGCGACTAATGCTGAAAATATTAGATCGTTCCTAAAGTAATGTCGCTTTTTTCAAATGAACGCCACATTTCATGGAATCAAGATTTTCAAGAGATCTTAGGAGCTTTCGATGCAGCATTTCATCCTCTTTCTAATGATTGTAATTAGATTGCATAATTTTCATTGAGCTTTTGAAAAATTAACAAAATCCTCGACCCATGCTTTTTGCCATGGTCAAGTTCGGCAATTTTCTAAAATTTTTGCACCTATTCTCCGAAGAAGTACAAGTGGCAGGTAGATAGAGCAAACCCTATAGGGCACAGCAAATTTTTTTCCTTAGCTTGCTTCTTAGAGTTTCTGGAATCAGTTTTTCAATGCCATCAAATTCCATATTTGGCCAACTCAAATCTCACAGAACAACAGCCGGCAAGCAACTCGTGTGTCGTTCGACGCAGCTTTTTCTCCTCTTTTTACCAGTTGTTTTTGGTTTCCGATTTATCAAGTTTTCCAAGATAAAATCATCATAATTCAGGTTTTCCAGGGCGCCTCCGGCTGTACCCGGAATTTTCGAAAATTGCTAATCTGAAGCGGTAAACGCTTATTTGCTTTGTAAAATTAGTGTAAAACCATAATCCATTTTTGTAAGTTTCAAAATCCGACGATTTTGTTGGTGTTTGATGCATTTGTGTCTGAGACGAGCCTGCTAAAATTCGGTGGTTCTATCAAAAAATCTATACAGAAATTATGACGAGTTCTGAAAAGTAGAAAAAAGTTGTGCTGTTTCCCGTAGAGTTTGCTCTATCCATACATGACTTGGATTCCTTCCGGGGGTTGTTATAAAAATTTGGAAAAATTGTGAAACTTGACCTTCTCAAAAAGCATGGGTCGCAGATTCCGATAGTTTTCCCAGAGGTTATTCAATTTTGTGCGGTAGTTATATAACCATTAGAAAGAGAATGAAATGCTGCATCAAATGCTACCAGAATCTCTTACACATGTTTGTTCCACGAAATGTGGCGTACGTTCGAAAAAAGCGACATTACTTTTGGAACGACCTAATAATTTGTATATTCATTTTGAAGTCCACAAGAAGTATTGCATACGAGTTGCAGCGTTGAGTAGAAGCGATTGACTGGCCAAGAAAACCCATCCACTTATTCACACAAGAAAATTTTTGTGTTTATCCTCGAAAATTTTACTTGCTCAAATAAATCTGTCACATTCGTATGTGATTGTCCTTTATTAGTGCACTATATTTTTCATTTGTAAGTACCACTTCTACCGTATTTGCTCCTTTTCAATGGAAAAGAGGTGCATCTAACCTACGCTCAGGAAGTTGAAATTGGAAAAGAGTCCGCGAGACTCTCCATCCCGTGAGCAAATTTGTGTCCTTTTAAATACATTAAGAATAACAGAGACTAGTAGGAACAAGCTTGTGGCGCAAAGGTTGCAGTTGAGATTAAATGAGCTCTAGAAAAGGAACTCAGGACTAGATTTATATCATATTGACAATGCCATTAACAACAATATGCAATTTTGTTCTAATCATCTGTGAGGTGATCAAAGGAATAATGCTATACTACTATGCTACAAACAATAAGCACCCTTTCTCATCACTATGCATTTTTTGCATATTCCAAACTGAGTGCAGCATCGAAGGTAAATAAAATTCTTTATGTTCCCCACAACCTCGAAAAAGTAGAAAGTAAAATGTTTCGCAGATGTGGATGACAGTAACAGTTTGGAACTAACGGCGTAGACTAAAGGAAGCTTAGGAGCAAGTTATCTGATTAACAACGTATGCTTGTCAACGTAACCAACTACTCATCACATCCCTAATATGTAGCCATGGTCATATCGGTTGCTTCAGCGGATTTTGGGTTGGCAAGAGGTGTCTACAACAGCGAGTACTACAAAGTTCGTGGCGAAGACTTTCTACCATTGAGGTAAATCACCAGCTTTTCTCGCATCAACGAAAAACTTCACTATAGATGGCTGGCTCCCGAGTGTATCTCGAAAGGTGTTTTTTCGTCCAAAAGCGACGTATGGGCATTTGGTATCTTGATGTACGAAATTGTAGGAATGGGACAAAAACCATATCATAACATGGACAACAATCAGGTACGAATGAAAACGTACGTTAGTGATCTTGTGGGTTTCTACTGTGGTCTTAGGTTCTTGTCCATGTGAAAAATGGTGGAACTCCGGCAAAACCTGCATATTGCCCTGACCAGCTGTAAGTTCTCGACTTCAGTGGTTTGCTGGATAATAAACCAAATGCTAACAGGTACAAAATCATGCAATTGTGCTGGGCGTACGAAAAAGAACAGCGTCCTACCTTTGCTGATATCCTGACAATGTTCGAAAAGCTTCGTGATAAGAGCGAGTTCCAAGTTAGTTGATATAACTTGCATTGCAGGTAAGATGGTGTCAGCGAATTAGGGTTTCTTCAAGATAGCTGAACCGAATGTAAATGTCTGCCTTTGTGTTAACGCACTTCGTAAATGTCAGCTATACTGCTTAAAATTTATCCACCCTTATCAACACAATTGAATGGAAGGTTGGGTAGGAAAACTGAGCTACTGGGGAAACACAATCAAGAGCAACAAATGCAAAGCAAAAGAAGAGCATTTGTTAGTAGAGCATATGTATGTGTTGTTGGCAAACATCGCAAATGGCTCCCGTTTACTACTCATTGCTCTGCGGACAACTTAGGAATGCCGCAATCTCGGCCGAACTCTGCAAACTTTTAGCAGCCGCTATCGGGTAGAAAGCATGACACTATTGAAGACGAAGACTGCAATACAAAAAATAATAATGACTTGTGCGGATGTCCAAGCAAAGTAGCCTGTTAACAGTATAGGTCTCTACCCAGAATTATCGCTTTCCATACTGCAACAACACGATCGAGTAGTTTTCGCTTAATTAGTGTGCTTGCACTGTAGGTAAAATGCGGTAAATTTTGCGCGTGAACTACTGGCCACCCCATTAATGCCGGCATAGGCTCGCGATCGGCCGGCGTCACAGGCGTAGCTATTTGTTCATGCGCAAATTTTACCGCATGTTACCTGCAGTGCAAGCAGACTTATTGAGCGAAAATACGCTATATGCAAGGATTGCCTGTGGTGGGGCAGTAGGATTAGGATATCCACTTCCAATTGGTCAACGCCGCATCAGTTTTCTTCCAGCATTTCCTTCATGTAACGTAAAATTAGACTTGAACTCAGAACTTTCATGTTCACTCTAAACACTTGTAGGTGAAAAAGCTCTGGCGATATATATTCAGTGTTTATAAGGGAAAGATACCAATTGGCTATTGAAGACGAGATGTATAATGAATGATACGCGCCTTCAAACGTTGATTCTAGATCTGCATTCCTTTTTTTGCGGAAGAATTGTCCGAAAGTAGTTATAAGAGTTTGAATGTCCGAATTTGTCAAGCTTTGCAGCATAAAATTGGTAAGAAGCTGTAACACCCAAAGTGTGTAACAAATTTTGTTCCATTACATTCACTAGAAGGAAGGAACAGAGTCAGTAGAATCCGCATAGAGCTTTAGCATAACTTAAAGAGCTTCATGCTAATTTTACGCTACTCAAACTACGACAAAATTGGACGTTCAAATGTTCATAACGTCATTCGTAGAGTTGTTCTGCAAAAAAGAAGAACAGATTTGAATTAGAGTTTGAAGGCGAGCCTATTCGTATACATCTTGCCTTCATTCGCAACCCAAGTTGGTATCCTTCCATTGTTAGATGTGCATCATGGACTGTGTTAGCAATAACCGATGGCAGCACATTTTTACATCCTCCTTGTATCCCCCTTTCCTTCCCCCCCCCCCCTCAAGCATACCATGCTTTCTTGCTTTATCTCTCTTGTCAGGCCTTAAGTACAACATTTATTTGTACTCGATCGAGTTTTCATGAGGAGAGGGCAATTTTTTACAGGATGAAAAGCCTTTCCCACCTTGTAGTGGACACTACGATAATGCATTCGATTTGTCTCAAGATAGCACATCAAGTGAAAAAATGGGTTCGGAAAAAGGAGTCTCCAATCAAGCATTTTGTGACGTCGAGAGACTGTCGGAACAAAATCGATTTGGTGCGTACCTCCTTTGCATAAGCTGCCGATGTTCTTTTCTAATTATATGTAACTTTAGATAAATCAAGTAATGGAAATGCCTCCACGAGAAAGGCCATGCCAACCCTCGTTCGTTCGTTAAGGAAGGAAAACAAAGCAAAACCTTCGCCACCGGTAGATGATGGTATAGTGGCATTGCTAAGAGGTTTCTAATTAGGTTTTTTCAGCCCTCGCTTGCTGATCTAGATGCCAGAATTCAGTCGAGCTCTGCCACTGCCACCATACCCTCGCTGTCTAATGAAACACTAACAACATCATGTGATTACGGTAATGTGAATCTGAGTTCTATCTAGATTTGTTAGTGACTATAATTATTGCAATATTTTGAGATTTTGAACTCCGGGAAAAACATTCTATTGATCTTTAGGTTCGTCATATCAGTCACCTTCATTCGCATCCTCCTCTCGATCTCCACTAGTTCTGGCATCGAACTTGTCGGCGTATGAAATGCCAAAGAAATCATCGTTAACAGTAGAGAGTGAACACGCAGATGACTCGCGTGAGTGTTTATGTTAATATCAAGATCGCGTCTCTTTCGAGACCTTGCTTGCCCCGGATTCAGTGAGAAATTCTAGTAGACTGTTACTCAAAGAATAACCTTTATTAGGTCAGTTTTACAACTCGGAGTGCAAATCCTATATCGTCCTTTAGACACAGCTTAGCGTTCTTCGATTGACTCATGTCCGATATACTCTGCAAAAATCGCAAATTCTTTTCTGTTCAAGTATCGAGTATTATTCGAAAATCGTAAACTTTAAATACTCAAGTATCGCATGCCTTTAAAAAATCATTCGAATTTCGTTTATTTTCTTTCAAATACCATTCGAGTCAAATGTCTATGAAAACAGATAGGAAAAACGAAACACATATTAATAAGTTTTAAATTTCATATAAGTATTTGAACTGAGTACATTTTCATCTTACAATTTACAAAACTTCTTAGTGGAGGTCTTCTATGAGAATCTGGAAAATCGTTTCGTCTCTGACCGGTGACAGTAATTACTGCGATATGGAATCGCATGATACTGTTCAGATCACAGCGCTGCGACCATCCAGACAACTACAAAATTTACTGAAGGCAGTGGCTCGGCAAAACTCGCTCCGATCTTTTAATGTGATTGGAAGCACAACATGCCCTCTCTGCCGAGATAAACTCAAACCTACGCCCTCAAGCTTCTGTGCGCGTAACATTTTCGCGATTTCCGCTCCCTCCGTTAGTGACGTATGCCGCAATGTTTGAGCATTAGTCCCGCAAAGACTGTGTGTTGCTAGCCTTAGCTTAGAACTGTTCCTGTTGATGTGCCTTCAACGCGTATCGTAAATCTATAATCGTGATAGCCCACGGTTAGTTCCGTAGGCTAGTCTTAAGGGTCACCTGATTGTACTAGAGATTGCTCTCCGGTTCGATTTTTTACATTACAAGCCTACTCCGAAAACTCATTTGGTTACTACCAAAATTCCACTCGTTCAGGTTCAAAATGAGGGCTTTGAAAATGCTCGTCTTTGCCATCTTCGTACACATCAATGTGGATTGTCAGAGCCTGCGCATTGCAGTCTCAGTTAAGCGAGGATTCGTTTAAATCAAGAATTTGCCGAACCACTACTTGCGAGAGTTGTAGGCTGACATATTACAGGGTGTCCCAAAAGTCCTTAAGCCTAACTTTTCAAAGTAGTAACTTTGTTAGTATTCCTCGCTTTTCAGTCAAATTTTGCATTTGAGTTCTTCGTCTAGTTTCCAGTATTCCTCAAAAAATCATATCGTTTGCATTATACTTCCTCGAGATATACTTCTTGAAGCAAACAATACTACAATAGTAAAGACAAGCCGAAGCAAACGTACCCCTTATTTAAATATTTACAGCTCTTTTGCCTTTGGAGCTCTTGTGGAACCTTAAACTGCATATTATAGGGCTAGGTTCACTCTACATTTACAGTGCAAAACCAATCAATAGCCTTCGTTCATTAGAGTAAGATTAGGATACAAACATTGAAGTTGTGCCGTGCCAATAAGAAGAAAAGGTTCTCTGAAACAAATACCTGGGAAAGCTGAAAACTCCAACACCGAATCAGTTTGAGTCACTGATTCTAGCTGTAAGCCCTGCATTTCCTACTGAAATACCATTTTAAAGTCACTCCCGGTAATAATTGGTGTTCTCAAACACTTGAATGCTACATTTTGACACTTTTGTCAAATCTCACAGATATGCTTCTCAGATTTACGTGCCTTCAATAGCCGGAACAAGAGGCCCTTGACTTTTCTTTGTGATCAGTCATGGACAGCAAGGCTTGCTCTATTCCATGCTAAATTTTGGAGAATCTGGATTGCTTGCTTCAGAAGGTGTGAGACAATCTCGATGTCAACTACCTGGCTGCTATGGTGCATGCATTCCGCAAGCGTCTGAGAGCCTGTGTGAAGGCCAATGGAGGGTTTTCCGAAATCTGAGTGTATCGTGTTGATTTGTAGGTTCTTCGCAAATTACCTGTTGAATTTCATGCGTCTACGTTGCTTCGTACATTTTCAGCGGAGAAAATACCAGGCTTAACAGACCTTCAAAAAATGGGTCGTCGTCGTTGACGACGACCCATTTTTTGAAGGTCTGTCCCTGTGGACGAACCGTTTCCGGGCATTTTCACAGCCGGCTGCACATATATATGCATGCATCTATGCGTGAAGTACAAAAATGCAAGTGGGCGGGGAAGCTCCGCCCACTTTTCAAAAATGGTGGAAACTGCTCAAAATCAATGAATTCGTGCAAATTCCGGCATTTTTGAAAAGTGGGCGGAGCTTGCCACTCAGGGGGCGGGGCCTGCATAACGGGGGGCGGGGTCAAAATCAAGAATATTTGAGGTTCCCCAGTCATTTACGAGCTTTTCTATGCGATTTGAGAACGAAAAATTTTTTTGTACAGGGCAACGGAGTGGGCGGAGTTTGCCAAAAGAGGGGCGGGGCCAACATAAAAAACTTCCGAGACTAAACTGATTATGTGAACACAAATTGGAACCATTGTGCACATTCGAACTGGTATTTAGGGTGTCGCGCACCATTGCGCGACATCGTCCACAGGGACAGACTACCTGTCGCGCACCATTGCGCGACACCGTCGTCAACGTGTTAAAGACTTTTGGGACACCCTGTATATATTGCCATGGTTAACAAATTCTTGAATATTAGATGTTAATTCAGTACTTGAACATCCGATGGCCATTGAACGATCGAATCGAAAGGAGTGTCATATTTCATTTTTTGGAAGATTTCTTATACTTTCCATGTCGTAGTTTTTTCTGACCATTATATATTGATCGAAGAAGAATTCGACTTGAACATGAGCACTTCGATTAATCGACTTTGGAATTTTACACTAATTTCGATTATAGAATATCCAAATTTTCGAATCATTGCCATTCGTCGCATAATGGCTCAATTCCGCCAGTGTATAACGCCGGCCTTAGAATTTATGGATGAAAATTTATGGATAGATTGTTAACCTGCCGAAATCCAATTAATTTCCGTCTTTACTGTGAATTTAAAGTAGAATGCGTTTCGGGTCAGACTAGAAACTTTGGGGTACCACAGTATAGCAGGTTTTGGCAGATCCAAATCGCTGAAGCCACGAAAACAAACTCGGAAAAGGATGTTTCAACAATATGAATAATAACTTTGAAATATAGCACACATGCCTAAGTTGACTAGGCGCACTTTTATTTGATCACTGAGTTGTGTATTGAAGCATCCCGTGTTAACTTTCAATTACGCAATGCATTACCATTTTCTTCTCGGATCAAAAATAAAATCAAAGCTTGAATGTTTATATACTACATGAAGATGGGCACGGGTATCTGCTAACGTCGTTGAGATGAAGAATGGTACACCCAGTACATCCATAGCATTTTAGCTCACAGCCGCAGTTGGGCAGGGCCACAAAGCCGAAATCGCGTTAACCAATCGCAAGCCTTCGCTTTCTCCATTCATCCAAGCCAAAGTGGTAAGTTTCTTCTTTCGTGTTAACACTGTAATATGCTCCGAGTTTCAGATGCCAACACTCCCCAAGTAACTACCCGAAAGAATCGAACGCCTTTACCGACACCATCCTCTTCCTACGACAGTAGGCGAAAAAGTCGTGTCAGTCAAGTCTGAAAATCCAGAATCTCCTTACAACAGACTATTTTGCTTCTCGACGTTGTGGTGCTTGTTCACAGTTTCTCTGTTGGGAAGACTTCGTATTAATTGCCTTTCACTTCCTGCTCAATGCGGTGCCAAAGATACCACTTGATTCTGCAACCATTGTATTGTTGACATTACATTGCACAAAATTGTATTCAAGCCTGAAATTTTTCTCATTTTACGTTCTTCTATGTACTCATTCCATGAGATGATGTTCTCCGATGGGATTTATATGTTGTCAAAGTCCATCTGAAAGAAGCGGAGCACGCGTATGCAGAAAGTAAACGGTTTCGTTTTGAGATTTTTGGCTGTCGCTTTTGCTAATGAGAATTCATTAGTGAGGTAGTTTTACTCTACAAACTTTTGCATGGGTAATTGAAAGCGGAACAGACAGGGCCCGGCACAGATCGTTTGGAAGCAGGCTGCACTTCGTTTTTGAAGCAAAACGCAAAGGGGATTTCGTTTTTGACGAGCCGGGGCCGAGGACAAAGAATAAGCGCCATTCAGTCGAGCACAAGCTTTCGAACAGGTTAACACACGGTTGACATGCTCTATAGTGCATGGCGAAAAGTGCGCGCGATTTAAGCAAGGCTTAAATAAACAAATTGCTTGTTTACAGCGCACACAGAATCATTTGACACCAAGATTAAACTGTATACTTAGAAAATTATTTGCGGAAGGATTGTGTAAAAAGATTTGAAAACGTATGTGAAGTAATACCTTTTCTAAAATTAGATCGTGTCCAGACGGCCACCAGACGATTTGAGATCGTCTGGAGCATATATTTTCGTCACTTCACATAAGGTTTAGATCTTCTTAGCATGGACGGATGCCCCCGCCAAGATTCTATCCCTGAGCATAACATTTTCATATCACCCCCCTGTCCATAGTTTTTATCCTCTTTTTTTCGAAAATCGCCTTATTAGATATCGCGCCCCAGCGTTAACTTTTCTGCATCCTCTCCTATTCAATTTTCATTTTCAGTTCTAGTTTTTTCTTCAAAATTTTGTGGTTTATGTGGTTTTTCTTTGAAAGTTTGACCTGAAATCGCGAGATTCGCAGCTCGCAGCAGGTAATTGGTTTTTTCAGGAACTAAGTGCAATCCACCCACAATCGGAGGGGAGGGGGTAGAGCAAGGGTCAAAGGGGACTTCGTAAAATTTTCAAAAGTCAGGGGGACTTCGTTGCTAGAAACGGATCGTGCCGGACCCTGGGAACAGAATCGATCTAGTATGAAATTTGCGAAGTCTGGATTAATCAATAATAAATTAGATCGTGAAGAAATTTTTGCCTGTTCTTCTCATATTTCAAAATTTGGGTTTTGTGAACGCGCGATGGCGTCAACTGCATATAGGCTAATCGGTTCAAGAAAATAAGTGAAAAATCAGGACGAAATACCTCAAAAATGGGAATAATCAGTTACTTTGAGCTTGCAAAAAGGCACATCTCTCAGATTACAGAGCGCAGAACTTGCTATTCAAAAAATGAAACTCTTCATCTGTTTTGAACCGCAACCGACGCGCTTACTAAAAATGCATCCGCGTAACAGTCTAAAGGAGTTAGTAGACTTACCAAAATATCGTTGATTAACAGCTATTTGTGGTGAATATATAGACAGAATTAACTTGAGCTGAGCAGTACCTTTTTATAATCTTACGAAAAAATAGAAGAAGCTCCCTACGACATTAATGGTCACATCACAACCATAAGAAGAAGCGCCTGTATTTGAGTAGCCTTGCACAGGATCCAGAAAGAGTGTGAAAATTGACAAGTTAAAATTGCTTAAGAGGGAAGAGCCAAAGGATTATCGTGATTACACTTCTACAGGGCTTATCAAATCAAGTGTCGTTGCACCAGCATCTCCATCTTCGCACTGGACTTTGCGTCTCTTTCGTGGAACATGCTCTCTGAGCACTTTCCCAGGACGAGCGTGGGAAACCGGAGCCTCAATCGATCGAAAGTGATTAGAGCATGCTCCACGGAAGAGACGCATGGTCCAGCGCGAAGATGGGGATGCTGGTGCAAACAGCACTTGATTTGATATGCCCTGTATGTGCACATACGTGCGTTCTTATCAAGTACCTTACTGTCATGGTGAAAACAATTTTGCTTGGAGCTTCACTTTCGAAACAATTTCGTTTCACTAATTAGCAAATGGCTGCTTTGACTACAGCGCGACATGACGATGTGGCACTAAATTTGGTATATAAACTAACAAGAGCTAGGAGGAGCTTAGTGCAGAGCTGTGGAAAGATTATGTGTTTAAATGTGGTGGCAAGCTTTTATCTAAAAATTTTTATTGATAAGAAGTGAAAAGGTGAATAGCTTGCAACAGGTAACGATACGGCCCCGAACTTGGTGTGTATGCGTGAGCAAGGGTCGGAGAATTTCCGTCCTTGAAGCAGGAAAGCGTAAAAAAATTTTCAAATGCAGGCGGTGTGCTACGCCACGCACTCAAAAATTTTCTGGGATGCTTCCCAAATCTTTTGCGAACCACACTCGAACTTTAGAAAGAGAGGGCGGGCTGCCTCTCCCCGCTTCCGAAAAATTGCGAGGCTCATTTGAATTTTTGAATTTTTTTAAAAGTTTACTGTCCACTAATATAAACATTTGCATATTTTTGTAGCTCATAGTAATTTTCAAGGATTTCGCATTTTCGGGGGGGGGGGTGTGCCTTCCTCGTCCACTTGGCAGTGGCTGTTAAGTAAAAAAAATTAAAGTAAATGAAGAAACTATATATAAAGGTGAGTGAAAAGCGTGCTCAACCATTTCCAAATAGGGTGGCAATTGCCACTTCAATGCCACCTGAGGGTGGCAAATTGATTAACAAATTTTTTGCATACATGTGCTCTGCGTACGAGATTCAAAAGCAACACTTCCGTTATAAAGCTCCTCCTATCCTCTTTTTTTGGGATCCAATTGGCAAAGACGTCAGTCCTTTCGCAAAAGAAAGCGCACTTTAATTGATTCAAGCAGCTGGCGAGATGGAAGAACTATCAAAGGCTGCAATCGAATTCGTTTCACAGGCGCCCATTGCCACGCTCGCGCGGGCAGTATTGCGCCTGACCCAGTAACTTGCCTTTGCAACCCACAAATCGCATTATCACTGAAGCGAGTCATAAGCTCAAAATCTGTTGACTTAGGGCCGCATGCATCTCCGCCAGGAAGGGGATCGCAGCTTAAAATGAAGCTTCGTATCCTGAAGCTCCAGATATCTGGATTTCATGCTGTTTAAATATGCGAAAGTATTCCCACCATAATTCACTATAATATTACACAGGAGTGAGAAGCTGTAGAAGCCGCATATTCCACCTTTTTGTGTGATCCCCTGATGATTCACGGCGGCCAACTTTGGTAGAGATCAAGTTGGATGGCAACAACGAATTTATTCACAGGAAATAGTGACGAATAGCGACTGGACGATAGTGACGACTCCAGAACTTGGTATCCAGGCTCTATTATACAGCCAAATTGGGCATGTATAGCCTGGATGCCAACTTCTGGCAAGAAATGCTATCAGTGCAGTAGAAGTTTCGCCTACTTGAAAGTAGGCGCCGCCGAGTGCATTATCAAGGGCTATGAGGGTGACCCAGCGGCTAAACAGGTGCATGGACAATCTGCAACTTGTCCATGACAAAAGGAATAGTACGTTATAGATATTATGGAATAAAGGTCGTTAATATTTAACGACATCGACAATCTTTGATTTGAAGTCATTTTTCTTACTTCAAAATCAACGAAAACATTCCAAAGATGTACTGATTATTTAACCCAACAGTGTTAAGCATGTTGTTGCTAAGAAAGTGATGTTTTGGAATTAAAAATTTTCAACGGTCGAAAGTTGAGGTTTATCGAAAATTTCGATATTTCAGAAACGTATTTGTTCTCATCAGTAATGTGCTTAGCACTGTTGGATTAGATAATCAGCATTGAAGAAAGAAAAACGATTCCAAATAAAAGACGATCAGCCGCCGGGGATCATCAGGGGTTCATACAAAAGGGTGGAAAATGCGGCTTGTACAACTACAACTTTTCGATTCTGTTCAATTTGTTCAAAGCGAAGGGTGGTGGGAATACTTGACGCAATCAAGGAATTGCTCGAAAGGAAAAGATTTTTGAGGCAGGATCCGAATGCAAGCCATCTCGGGCGACTGGTAGTCAACGCCAGTTGCAGAACAGCTTGCAAGAGGATCTCATCTTATCTTCAGAAAGAGAGGATTCCCGAACAGTGGAGAACGTCAAGAGCCGTCTTCCTCTGTAAGAAGGGTGAACGGGAAGATCTTCGGAACTATCTCCAATAGCCTGCTGAGTGCGCTGTACAAACTTTTCACGAAGATTATCCTCGCTCGCATATCTAGGACACTGGATGAAGCCCAACCCCAAGAACAAGCTGGATTTCGCAAAGGATTCAGCTGCATGGACCACATCCAGACGGCTTCGAGGGTCATAGAAGTCTGCCGGGAATACCGACTGCCTGTCGTCCTAAACTTTGTCGACTACGAAAAAGCCTTTGACAGCGTCGAAACCAACGCCATCCTCTCAGCGCTTGTCGATCAAGGAGTGGACCCAGCTTACGTGAAGGCGTTAGCCGACTGCTACAAGGAATGTACAACGACGATGCAGCTACTCCATCGCTCCCTGTCCAGTTGAGAGAGGTCCGACAAGGCGACACAATCTCGCCAAAGCTGTTAACCGCGGCCTTGCTGTGGGTGATGAAGTTACTGGACTGGGACGAGAGAGGCATACGAGTTGATGGGAGATTCTTGTCGAACTTCAGTTTTGCGGACGACATCGTCCTCTTTCGAGTTTATCACTGAAGCAGAGATGATGCTGAAGGAACTAAACGAAGTTGGGAAGAAGATAGGATTGAGAATAAATCGGAAGAAGACTCAGTTTATGAGGAACGCCCTTTGCAAAGATGTAGACATAGAATTGGATGGCACCCCTATAATAAAGACGTCTTCTTACGGTATTTCGGACGTTCGTGAACATGGAGAACGACTTGAAGGGAGAACTCAACAGGAGAAGAAGAGCAGCGTGGGCCGCCTTCGGGCCTTTGAAGGAAGCCACTGACCAACTGAACGGACACGCAGCTTCGTGAACACCTGTCTACTCAACCGTTCTCCCGGCGCTCTGTTACGCAGCTGAGACTTGGGCCGACAACGTGCCACGTCGGAAGCTCTACAAGGCACCCACAGAGCCTTTGAGCGCAGTCTTCTGAAGATGACCCGACACAAGCAACATCTAGTCGGACTTCGCAGTACGGATATGAGAAGAATGTCCCGTCTTCGTAACACCTCGGAATACGTTGCGAAAGAGAAACATCGATGGAGCGGTCACATCATGAGAAGAACAGACGACAGATGGACACTAAAAACATCTGAGTGGATTCCTAGCGAACGTCCCCAACTACGACGTCAGCTGGATACGATTTTCGCCTCTGAAACTGTGGACGCCGCCACCAAAGACAGCCGAGAAGATCGTGGATGTCCGAAGCTAGGGAGAGTCAATGGAAACTTCTGTACAAATGTCTGATTTGAATAGCATGCTGTGAGCAAATCAGGAATTTTCAAAAAAAATTTTGGACGGAGTTACCATTTTCCTTTGTTTTTTCCGGCGTTTGGATCTTTTTGGTTTTTGGCTTCAAACTCGTGACTGATTTGAACTGATGCGAAAGCGAGAACAACATCTTGTATTGCTTTGCCTTGCTCTATCAAATGGTACCGTACTTTAAAACGTGTCTAGAATCAAGAACTTCATGACTTATTGCGATTGAAACTCAAAAAGGACGGAACTTGTGGGGCAACCTGATATAATGCCGTTGTAGCTATCGCTTCGATTTCATTTCATCTGCTGTGTAGATTTTTGGGTTCTGATGAGGAGTATAGATATTGATTATTTGTATCTACTTGCATGCTACAGCGGTAGACCCACAGCCGCTATGATGGTGCTCAAAAGCATGCAAGGATACAAATGCTCCGCTGAACACGATCTCGCTACAGGCGCCTGGACGCTGCAAAGCGGAATAAACAATTCTTGAAATGGCTTCACGTAGTGTTTTAGTCTCCTTCTTCCTTGCGGGTAAGCATTGAGAAGTTTGGCTCCATACCTTTACCTCTAAGTAAGTCATGAAATTGCTTTTTGACGCTTGTGCGAAACAATTATCGATTGGAGGTGTTCGCAACATATGACTGATGGCTCTGTTCTGTCCCTCTCGTGAACTGTTTGGGACTGTGAATGCCAACCACATACAATATCTCCTGCGTTTACCCACGATGGGTAGCCGACTACATACAATATCCCCTGCGTTTACACACGATGGGTGACCTTCCCCGACATTTAGTCGCAAAAATTCAGCTACGAAACTGTTGAGCTAAATCTAGGTAACAGATCATTCGAGTCTTCCTACTTCGTTTCATGAACAAGACTCTCAAAGAATTTTACTCGTACAGAGACGCAGAAAATTATGTGTTACATACAAGACAATTTCGCTGTCAATAACGTAAGAATAATTTGAATAAACACAGTCGGTACTCTGTGTGTTTAGAGAACAAAGAAGAGGAATAACAAAGGAAAGCTTTCCAAGACACGTTTTTTGATAATTAATGATAGAGATCATGCGTTCAGACACACTAGAGTTACGAGCAGGAAAACATAGACAACACTGCAACGCATATGTACAGATGCAAGATCAAGTTGTGAAATTACGCGCCACACTTTCTTACAGATTTTGGTCTTGTATAAATTCTAAAATATTCTATCGGGCCTAAATATGACAGATGCAGTGTAAGGAGCAAACCGCAGCAATAAAAGCAAGCAAATTCCTTTCAAATATGTGGCACATACGAAGAGGAAAACAACTGACTCAGCATATACGGATCTACACTGAATAACAAACATGTAGCTGGAGAATTTGGCACACTTTATCACACATTAATAGAGACCACTCTTGTGCAGATTTTGTTGTATGATCATTGAAATGACTGAGTCGAGGATCTTCTGAACTTGATCAGTGTCCGTGGCGCAAGTCTCATGCACAAAAATAGTTTTCTTTGGGTTTTGATTCAGCATTTCGAATCGTTGCTTGATGTACTTAATTGAGTCCTCGTACGTTTGTGGACCTGGAAATTCAGCTAGTTAGATGAAGCAAGAGAAAAAGTTTTTTTTTATTGTATAACTGACAATGTGGTGTTTGGTGCAAATAAAACACAGAAGACAACTGCTTATTATCACAGTTCGCAGTTAACTTCTTTTCCTGGTCAATACTTCCTTTCCTGTCTATGTGCTTAGCTTGTTTCATAAGCTCGTAGGGGTTGGAAGAAACGGTTGTTTTGCGACATACTTAGGATTCGAAGAAGGTTTTCTCGCTTTGCAACGTTTATCTCTTGTCTTCGAAAAAACCCAGTGCACCTCAGTTTGTGACTGTAAAAAGTTTTCAAAATGCGGAGATGTGCATTTCTGGCATGTGCATCTTCCGCTCCATAACGGAAATCAGGCCATTCGTTGTTAAAGGCCAAGTAGCAAAACCATAACATTCTCTTGCGCAACATGAGCAAACTCAATCAGAAGCACTGGAAAACACCAATATTAGGATTTGGTTGAGCAAGTCCTAGCATACTGGCGAGTCCTCATTTTATCAGCATACCAGTCTTGCTCTTACTGCTACCTATTCCGCCTAACCGTAAAAAAATTTTCGGGGAAATTACGAAAGGCGGCAAGTGCATGCCGAAATCGCCAGATTTAGCCGAAAAACATTTGCTTCGAGAGCCCATGGAACGAGCGGCTTCAATAACTTCGAGATTGAAAAATATGTCCTGTAAGCAAGAATGGCTGCTTTTACATATGTATTTGCCGTAAATCAACCGATTTTTGAGAATAAGATGAAGAATTTACATAAGAACTTAGAAATAACCTACAACCGCAAATGCAACATTCTAGTGGCGTTAAAGTTGTACTCAAAATGGTCCTAGCACCTGAAGCTGTCATGTCTAGATTTTGACAATGAGAAACAGAGATTTTGCAAAAAAATGATAAAATATTATAAGAGCGTAGGGGTGCGTATGTCTTGCTTTCGTTCATGAGTAAGTGGAATAAATTATAGAGTTTGAAGAGCAAAAAGCTGTGAAATTATTTTTGAGGGCTTTCTGTCGCCAATCCCCTTTCTTCTGCATACAGTTTTCAAAAACGTGATTATTGTGGAATATTTTCTTATGAACTCAAGGAAAAATTTCTGTACCTCGGCCTTGTTTGCTTTGTATTTCTATAGTAACGTGTCAAAAGCATAGGAGCAAATCTACTGGGTAAGGAATTAGCCCATTGGTCTGAAAAAAGCTCTAGTGCTTCTTACTTTTCTAGGTAATGAAATGTGAAGGATAAAACAATAAAGCTCATGGAACACCTGCTACTCAATAAAAAATAATGTGATGAGCGTTCAGCCGTTCAAAACTTTGTTATCACGATGCACAAATGAAAGAAGTGTGTAAGACAATGCTTTTGTGAAAAGTTTTTTGGTTCTTAGCGGTTGACAAATCTACTGCACGAAACACCTTAGGTTTGGATCCATGGGTCTAGTAACCTGAAGCACCACAACTCCGCTTTTTACTCCACATAGCGATGCAAAGCAGACATTTGAAAAATAAAAGTAACAAAATCACTGACCTGAATATTCTGGGAATGCTGTTTTGATAGAAACGCGTTTGATTTTCTCCATAAACAAGTCCTTCTTGTTCATGAATAAAATTATTGAAGTGTTGATGAACCAGCGACTGTTGCATATTGACTCAAACAAGCGTTGAGATTCCAGCATTCGATTCTGAAACCACCAACTTAATTGGTCAAGATCCCAACAATAATCTCCTGGCTTGATTTTTAACAAAGGAAAGATCTGGCTTTAATATATCATATATTGTTTGATTTTGTTATGCAGATTTACTGGGAAAACGACATTATTGACGATCTTTGTTTTTAGGCACACAGGAGTAATTTCATTGCACAATGTGGTAAAATATGGCTTTCACTCAATACAAATGTGCTTTACTCGATTGCTCATTATACTACGCTTGTCATTCAATGTTAAACTGGAAAATAGCCTTTCTATAAAACAAAGAGGCTATTTTCCAGACAAATAGATGATTTGTTTGATTTTGTAGTAGCTAGGGGGACAGTCGTAAAATGCAGATTTTTGTCCTTCAGAGAGAACGACAAAAAACTATTATTTTGCTAAACGAGACGAAAACTCAACTGAACAAAGAATAAAAAGACGAAGGGAGGAGCTATACATTTGCAAATTATCATCGCCCAAATTTAAGGTTGCAATTGAGAAATGAAACATATTGACAGGCAAGTTTTCCAAATTTTTAATTCCCAGTACACTTTTTAAACTGTTATCTTTTGTTCCTTCACTTCTAATCTCAGCGCCTTTAGCGACCGAAAATTGGTAAAATACATAGAGCCAAGAAACTTCGCTTCGAGAGGACATCAGTCTGATGATATGAACAAGGAAAATACACTTCACGACATAAATATATTCTTCTGAAAATGCAAAGAGAATAGTTCCCATCAAAAAATTTGCAGAGCAGACTTGTACCCCCTTAAATATTTATATGTAAACCCCTACACTTGCAAGGTAATGCAATTGCCTGGGTAATCAGTGAACTTTCCGCTTGATTTCTAAGTGCACCGGCCATTCTGCCATTACATTACTAATCACTGCGTAAGTGTCTAATAACTTCCTCCTTGACAACGCCAGCGTGTTTTTTCTGCTCAATAGAGCAATCGCAGCTGATAATGAGCTGGTCCAAGCGCGTAATTGACGGGCGTATTATATAAAGTTTGAGTAAACTGATTTTCTCACCGTAGTTTCATCTTCAAACAAGACTTCGTCGTACTCGCTGACTGCTGCAATAAAGATAATAGCATTGACATCTTCAAAGCAATGTATCCACTTTTTCCGTTCTGACCTTTGTCCACCAACATCGAATACTCTGTAAACGGATTATGAGCATAGAAAACAGAGTGTAAATACAGTCCTTTACGAAGATTTTTTTTATCGTGGCTGGCAGTTACTTAGCTGATTATCTAAGTCTCGAGGTAGGAAATATCTTACAGTAAAATATTGGTATTAGTACTTTTAGGCAACACTCATACTTCCAATACTGCTGAGAGGTCGTAACACGATTTGGCAGATTCAAATGTTACATCACCTTACTTGGGCTGTATTCATACATATACTGATTCTGATCCGCAAATGCCGGAACACTTCCACCACAGCTGAATTGTGCGCTGGGCTGGAACCGTTTCGGAACTTGCGGATCAGTAAAAATTCAGCCCAAGTAAGGTGATCTGTAACATTTGAATCTGCCAAATCGTGTTCCGCCAGTTTGGACGTCCTCCGCAGAGTACTGGTCCCGAAGCGACATGTAACTACATTGCAGAAGGGCTAGGTGGCCACGAAAGGCGGTTCAAAGTGGCGGCCTTTGTCCCCTACCCGCTCCGGAGCTTATGAATCAGTATGAACACAGCCTTAGGTTTCAAGTGCGTAGCACAGATTTAGCTTCGGAACGGCGATGCCAGTCTCGCACGAGATGCCCTTACTAAAAATTCAAAACAGTCGCAGCAATGTTTAAAGCATTCAGCTTTCGAAATCGCGCGAGGTATAGCGGTGCCTTACACCCTGCTACAATTGAGCTCCTAGCTCTTAGGAAGAAACGTTGCGATAAATGTTCATGTCGCTGCGTGTAGTGTTTAGCAGTTTCTGGTACAAAATTTTCGCCTTAATTGAAACAGTGGCAGGGAACCTTCCATGAAAGCTTTCAGTTGGTTTTACTGCTCCTTCAGACAAGGTGCTGCTTTTCTTCTAGTTTTACATTTTTGACTTCTCACAACATTATACGTGTTTCTGGCAGTAGGGAATCGTTCCGAGACCACAGGATTTTTCAGCATTTCCTGCATTTTTCGACTATAGTCCAAAACACATATCTACAACGTTATGTTGCAGAAGCACGACTACTTTTTGAATGCGGAGTCTATATATGCATTCAACTACTTTGTATGTAAGGTAACCAATGTTGTGTGGAAAGAGTGAGAAAGTGTCCGTTGTCCGTTGCAGGAAATGCTGCTTTTCCTCAGTCGTGGCAAACGTACGGTATGAATAAGTAAGAGGTTGATAGCGTGCATTGTTTCATCCACTCATTTTGTTGGCTTAAAAAGAATATCTTCTATAAGCTTTGTAAAGAAAATGGCCACCGTAAATAAACATGACAAATGTGGGATAGAGCTATGCACTGAACTATGCATTCTTTCCTCAAAACTACTGACAAAGAGAAAAGAGTTACCTGAAGTGGACTTTCTTGATAACAAATGCGACTTCCACGATCCCAGTGGTTTTTATCCGAGTGAGAAGTATATCTTGATCAGTTGGCTTGTAATTGACATTTGATATTCTGTCAACGCTATCCAAAAAACTGAACAAGACACTTCAACTGAAGGGTATTGACGCAAGGAGTGAGATTAACTTACAATCGCGTGCTTTCGTGAAGATGGCATTCTAATCGTTTTTCTTCATAGATTTGTTGCACAGCTCTATCTCCCCATAGTTTCTGAAAGCGCAAAATCACACAATATGATATTTTCAAATGACTTTCATGTGGCACAGAGCTTTGCTTTGCAAGACTATTGGGTAGTTCTGAAAATAGAACGCGATGGGTTATTACAGTGACAAAAATAAGCGCTTAGATTACTGTAATCGGAGCACTTTCAATGGCTATGCACTTTACACCTGCTGCTCGTATCTGGTGAAGGCAGTTACTAGGCAAGTGCAAGTTCGAAGCTGTTATAATACATTCCATAAAAAATGTACTCAATCGTGCTCAGTCGTTCTTGAGTTTGAATGCCCAAAATATGCATATCGATCTTTGCCGGTGAAATTTATTAACGTTGTAGCACAAAAGAAATGGGACCTAAGCGACTGACCCTACCTTTTTATGCACACAACAAAGGTAAGTATCGAAACGTGGCATGGTATACCACACAACAGAATAATAGAAAATGTGAGCAAGATGCCTTGATATTAAGTTGACTAAAAAACGGTTTCGGTCGATTTGGGAGTTTGCGGAATTGTTGAAAAATTTTTATGGATGATATCATCAAAAAGATAATCCAAGGATAATTAGATGCTCAAATATGTTCGAGCAGGAATCTCCTGGTCTAAAAAATAGTGCAAAATGTAAGAAGCCTACATTCTTCCGTATCAAAAACCCATCAAAGCTGACGTGAATGTGCATTGCATACGAGGATTTCGAGGTTTTTAACCATTTTCGTTGCCAAAATTGGACAAAATCAAGCAATCTGGACTGCCCGAAAAATTGACTTTTGCGCAAAGATGTCAAAATCTATCTTTCAACTGCAGAAGTCCATTTCTGCAGATCAAATCCTCACTACAGTCTGCCAGATATCCAAAGCGCGCATGTATTCAGTTTCCAGTCTACTCATCTGAGCACTCACTATAGCACTATAGCATGAAAACGAGATAAAGACAAAAAAGTAATTTTTGGAAGGACGGCCGTATAAGAACATGATTGTCTTTTGTGCCTGATAGAACTTCGAGTTAATGCTATGTGATGGCAGAGGTTTGAGATGCCCTTAAGCCCAAGATAAACCACACGCGATTTCGGTCGCCCTGCGATTTGGCAACTTGCCAGTGTCTTCATATTCAACAGTGGTAGACCCCAGATGCACGGCATGTAGGCATATCTTTCGTACGTTGATAAAATGCCCTATCTTCCGTACATTCAGAAACTCCTTACGCTGAGTTATGAATAATTGGAGTATTGCCAAATCGCGCCGCGGCTGAAATCGCGTGAGGTATGTTTTGGGCCTTAACAGAAATCTCATACAGATACCTCTCCAGGGTGCCTCAGAATAATGTATCAACATTTGATTTTTTATAACTATCTTGTACGAAAAGCTTTCCTCGGTACTCCGTTTCGGACCCAATTTTCAAGGAAATGATATTGTTTCTTTCCTGGTAACAAAGTTGGTCACAATTTTGTAAAAAGAAGTGACAACCTCCTGCCACTTGTCAAACAAGATTAACTTGCCAACTACATGTCTAACAAGGTTTACCAAGAGTTTGTTCATCCTGGTTACCAATGTGAGTTTGAATTGTTTCAATCAATAAATGAACATTAACACTGCCCAAAACAGAAAAGTTGGCGATAGTTTCATTATCTAATTGACAAAACAAGAGGAACCAGCCAGGTCTTCATGGAATATTTATATTCTTCCCGGCTAAGTCATGGCGGAAGCAATTTGACGAGAAAGATATCTTTGAGTTATTGCTGAAAGCGGCAGGTGTTTTGATAAACGTGTTGATTATTTTGCCCCTATGAGTAACCGCTGAACAGATTCTGGGTCTGCAATTGCTCTTGTACCACACCGGAAATGATTTTGAAAAAACATATCAAACTGAGCCTAAATGTGTTAATTTCTATCTTGACACGTGGCAGGGACACAGTTCTTGTAGAAACAGTTTATAAAACATCTAGGCTTATGGGGAGTGTCTTCAAAAACTGCTTGCCGAGATTTGTGCATTTTATAGCCTTTCCGACCTGTCCAATACCCTAGGGGCTTAAATAATAAAAATTAACTCATGAACTTCTCAAAAACCCCGTTTTCTGGGGGCCCCATGGAAGCCACGCGGGCGAGTTGTGCCTTTCCGGCTTTAGCCTTCGCCATAGGGCAGCAACACCATGGAGGTGGACGCCAAGCGGACGGACATATTAGAACGCCTGGGAAACGGTCAGGAGGTCCGCGAATTTTTCGCGAAGCGAAGCCGCAGCGCACTTCAGCCAATGCAATAGCAACACTTCTGGAGCAGTATTACCCTAATTTCACGCGTACAAGGCGCGGGGGATTTTTTTCGAAAATCGACCAGCCCAAACACGGCAAAGGACTTCGCGAACAAAAAACTATATACAGCGCTGTATATTGCCTGAGAGTATCGTGCGGCATAAGTCTCGTTTTCCGAAACACAACGAGGCGGCTGAGCGGCTCATTTGAAAAATCGAAAAAGGTGCGCCTTGTACGCGTGAAATTAGGGTACTTTGGCATCGAGTACATGTGTCTGCTCCCACCCCTGCCCCGCTGTTTTTGCCGCCGGGAACTCTAACAGTGAGAGATTTGTGAGTCCCAAGATTTGGACGCGGCGTCGCGGCGGAGCGGTGGCCGCGCGCGGCGTACCTCCTGGCGTGCAGCCGAACGCCTAAGGGGAGAACCGGAAGCGTCGCCGCGCGTACCAAATCCCGCGTACCACTTTGAGCGCATTTTTCTCAACGTAGAGGGGCCAAATGGAGTCAGACTTGTTGCAGCGACCTTTTTCGGGGCCCTCTAGTAGAATATGTGGAAATTCACACTACCCCACTTTTGATAACACTGCCTTCCAGGTACGGTATGAGAATATTTCGAAAAGATTATTCCGGATAACGGCAAAATACTCTTTTTTTCGACCACCATAAGAGCTGCTTTCATATATCGTCAAGTCATTTATACTTAATATGTCTAGTGCACACACTACACGCTAATTGACGAACTACAAAACTAGAACATGCTCATTTTCTGTGATTTTTCCTTCTTTCCTTATTTCTCTTGTTTTTATGGGTTACGTGCTAGTTAGTAGAACACATTTCTACACTTTGTTGGACTAGAATATGTTTTACTAGGAAGTACAAGTATGGGTGCCGTCGCTAGGTATAGTGTGCAATCTCACACATTAAGTTCCAAATGACTCGATGTTATGTACGGTATGGAGTAAAACCGATCACTCTTCATTACTGTAATATTAAGGCAGAAACTTCCAGTTTACAGTTGTGGATTAGTCGTTCTAAGGTAAAACTCTCAAAAATGTAGAGTTGCGTAGAGTTGCGTACCTGGTTTTTCAGGCACTGATTTCATTACCTAATTTTTTACTAGTTTGTGAAACTTTTTAGATGGTGTAATCACAATGGAGCATTGCAAAAACAGTTACTGCAATTTACTTGGCATAACGCATGAGAGAAGCTCGAATCAGCTGCTGATTAGCCTAATGTGAGAATTTTCAGGTGAATTGTTTACTTGAGAAATGGGAGCTTCAATGGCTCAAAACTCTTTCAAGAATTCTTACCATATTCTAAGCTGATGAAGAGCGAGCGGTGTTCGCTCCATGCTGTGAGTTTCGTTGAAGCCACCCCCAACTGCTGTTTGAATGAAGGCGAAAGCTCTTCGTACAAGATAGTTATCAAAGTTTAACGTCTGATACTTTATTCTAGGACCCTTTACGTAAATCACTATGGAGTTTGGTACTTGCATATTAAAGCCCAGTTATTTTTTAGGTAACTTAGTATTATGAAACTGATCTAACAAAAAGACGAAGAATATTTAAAGACAAAACAAAAGAAATATTCGCGTTCTCGTAAGTATAGGCAAGAGCTGACGCAGCTGATAAGTTTGAATTTTCAAATTCCATGTAATTTTTTTTCGGAGAGGTGCGAAGCAGCACGCATGTTTTTTACTATATTGAGAACCTCCCCTGTACGTTGCGGATTGCTAAATTTTTTGTCTAGATTGATTAGCTACAACTGGCTTTAATATTGTATTCGGTGTTGTTATGGTCTCTAAGGAAATAGCTCTAATTTACTTGCTTATAATTGCACAGCAACAGATTAGTAGGTACGGTAAGCAAAACATCAAATCGATTGGCCAGACAGGCTTTTGTCACCTTGAATACAAGGTGGAATGATAATGAAGAATCAGAAAACCACATTATTTAGTTGGCTCGGCATGACAAATAGAGAAATAATGCAGGGTTCGGCGCAAGTAGCTTATAAACAATCTAGATATCGTTTTTGGGACAAAAAGCAAAGTGGTTTTTGTTTTTGTGGCCGAAAAGATAAACTGCGACGTTTTTTTGGTCGACGTTTCGTTTTTTGGAGACTTTTTAGGGATTATGGTCTAGGGTCGAAGGGGACTTCGTAAAAATTCGCAAAAGTCAAGGGGAACTTCGTTTTTTGTATTTTCAAAGCCACCCCGTGCCGAGCCCTGAAATAATGCCTTTCTGCTATTAGGTCAGTTTGCAAAAAGCTACACCCCAGGCTGAGACTACCAAAAAACACCCACTTTCTGAAGACTTTTCAAAGACCACGAATTGTTCCTTAATCGCTCTTGATACCCTACAGAGTAATCGAAATATCCATAAACCCTACATATTCCAAATTGATAATGAAAGAGAATACAGAAGCCGTAATTACCTTTATTGCTACAGCTAACTCCGGTGTGAACGGTTCAGATTCTCGTCCTTGTTTGATAACGTCCTGGATAACCATGGCGTCAACCTTGAATGATGTGGCTGATTTTACGTCCATCCACTTTTTCTTGACCTACCTGCCTCTCCGGATTTGAATATTTGATTTGATATTGTTGCATTGCTTTAATGAGTTGGTGAATTGCTGTCACCGTATTATTGTATACAACCCGTTTCTGTTGCATCATTTCATCGTCAGTAAACCCGTTATTGTGCAAAATTCGCATTTGTTTCAACACTGTGCTTTTGCCGCACTCACCGGCTCCTGAAAAGAAAAATTTTACACCATATATGAACGCAACAACATACAAACGGCAAAGTTTCACCTAAGAGCAAAAGTTTTACGGTTCGTTCATCTGTGGCTGCACCTTGCTTGATCTGCTTGTCAATCTGCTTACTCTTTTCGAAACCCGTCTTATCCTCGTCACTCTGACACAATCCCATAAGAGTTCGTCGTTATTTTGAGGTGTGAAGTAATCAATGAATTTTCGTTCTGAAAAATTAGTTTTGGCTAGAAGCTAACGGAAGCTATAAAGCTAACGGAACGCAGAATTTAGAAGAAAATGCGATCCAAGAGGGCTACTTCATAAATCAAATGCTAGAAACCGTTTTAGTTGAATAAATAATGTTATGACAAATACGAATAGAGACAATGTTTTTGCATAAACACAAAAAAGGGAATGTTATGCTTCCGTCAACACACCCGGAACCCAGAACCCGGGAAAATACAAATGTAGGACTAAGTAATTCAACAGGCTCTCGGATAAATCACAGTGGGCATTTATAACACGTGGGCATGAGTTAATTAAAAATGACATCAAGTGCCTTGTGGAGCTAATCTGTTCCCTAAGAATCAGTACTCAAGAAACAACAACAAAGAGCTTGGGAAAAGAATATGACGTGCTCAAGAGGGAGGAGTCGTGTAGACCCATTATTATAACCAAACAACGAATGCTCATTGATTTCTTGTACAGCTATCATCTGACGCAAGATATCTCATAAAAATCTTTTTTAAGGAAGATATTGGATATTTTATGTAATTATTGTAATGATCTCCTTACATTCGTTCACTTTGTGCATCTATTTTTCTCGCTCAAAATGGGTTTATAAAAATTAGATTAATTGACATAAAAGTAGCTTATGCTACAGTTTTTTGTCTCTTTCAAGTTTTGGAAGGTGTAAATAAAATACTGTAGCTAATAACATTCCTAACCTTTAATAGCAGTGCATTAAACATAGATGTTGCATACATTTCCTAATAGGGACAAGAAAGAAGGGAAGTCCCCCCATACCCCACTACTTTGGGAAATCTCCTTATGCTATAAAAAATGAAATGGCAACTAATTTATTTCAACTATTTCTGATTTTCTGGTTTTACTTCTAGTTTTCTCTTCATGATAAAAATCAATCATGGTTAAAATTTTTGGGTGCAAATGCCCGTTTTTCAAACACGCTTCCGAGAAATTTGAGCACATGAAAGACGTGCAAAGCTCTCGGAATCGTCCATTCTCAATAAAAAAACTTGACGCAAAACTGAAAGCTTTTGCTCTTGAGTATGTAAGAAGTTTTCAAAGAAAAATCGAAAAATGCTTCGATAATTCAAAGCAGCATGTTCCGAACTTTCCGCTCAATGTCCTAGCCGTTAGATTCGTTGCTATCTGAAAATCACCTCAAGTGGAAAGAAAGAACTGGAAGCATTGCTGATCAGCAGTGGCAGACCAAATGAGAATGAGATTACTATGTCATGTACGTCGTAAATGCATCATCACAATAGGATCAGCAAGTGGTCTCATAAACAAAAATAACGTCATGTCAGGTCTACGGAAAGGTTATTCTTTATGCATACCTACGCTTTTCAGGGATTAGATTGAGAGCCATTAAGTCTTAGATATGATCTCAACGGACTTTGACGTGGGTGCACTATCCGCAAAGGAATATGAGTGGAGCTAGAGGGGGTCGAATGCGAAACAAAAGTCGTACTCCAGTGCCATTGAACAGCTTCCTATCAATCTAAATCAAAATGTCACATTGCTTGCTGGAAAAACTTGATATGAATTTGTGCTATGTGCGCAGCATCTCGTTCTCATGAGTCGGTAAATAAACGAGCCAAAAGCTACCCGGAAAAGAGTTACAAGGAAAGTGTGGAAAGATTTTTAGCTTCTGCTCCTATTTAATCACTATTCACTTCCATAAATGAAGACTGTCACTTTGCTTTCTAAAAACTTGATTTAATCACTTTTACACTCATTTTCACTCTTAAAGCCTTACCAATCACATAAACCCTCACAGATCAACAGTACTAACGCAAAGTATACAACTCAATGCCGCACACTGGATTTACTTGGTTTTATAAAAGCCACTTGACTTATTTTTGTCACGCGGAAAAGTAAGTTCAAATCAGTTGCTCCCCAGGTGTTGTGCCTCTTGTCAAAAACAATTACTCAGTTATCTCATTTCCCTATTTACGTAGCACTACGTTTTCATAATGAGGGAGTATCAAAAAAATCAATGAATGAGTTTTCATATTTGTTGAACTTTCTTGCTCAGTGTTATAAGTTTTTTTGAAAAATATTGTAACACGAAGGCATGATAGTAAGAGAAGTATTCATTCGCCGGTAGTCGTATACAGAATATATTTTTGTAAGTGGGCTGTATAGATTTTTATCCTTCTCGACTACATTTGATCAGAATCATGTTTGAATCCATATTGTCACAGTTACACAGTTGACGCTGTATACGTAAGACGCTTTCGGATTCTCGTGTAATTAAATAGGATGCCTAAGACTATAGAGAATCTTCGCAAACGTTGTACCCGTTCCATGATGACGAATTTCTTGATTTGAAGGGAAAACGTGGCTTGTAAGCAAGCTAGATAACTTTTTTTTGGGACAAAAAGCAAAGGAATATTGTTTTTGAGGCCGAAAAGATACAGAAATTGCCAATTCTTGAGTCGACGTTTCGTTTTTTGAGGGTTTTTCTTATGATTAGGGTTCAGGGTCAAAGGAGACTTCGTAAAAATCCGCGAAAGTCAAGGGAGACTGCGTTTTTTGCAATTTCCAAAAGCCACCTCGTGCCGAGCCCTGCTGATATATTAGGTAGAGGCAGTTTATTCTATAAAGTATTCTGACATTTTATCAATGCTTCTTATAAGGTCTAGAGGGGTAGTATCGATTGATTGATTTTACTTCAGCCACTAGTTCCTTTGTCCACTCCAAAATGCTCATAACTTTGTTCTTAGAAGAGCTCCGCAAATAGGAAAAGCATATTTGAAATCAGCATTACAAGCTATCACTTATGGTATGCAGCTTGTGCTGATCGGCCACTTCGACTTCGTAACCTTCCCTTGCAAGAAGTATAAAGCTTTCACTGCAGATATCTGTCACGCGTATCTTCACGAAATTGATGTATGTGCATACTTACAATAGTTTTACGAGTACAAGACGTCCCTGTTTTTTCCTAAACTCGACCAGCCTGACACACCAAAAAGTTTAGCGACCAAAGACCCTCTTACCCTGCTGCTCCTTACCCAAAAATATTGTGTAAAAGGGCGACCATTCCACGAGGCACAGTGATGCGGCCGAGCTGCTTGCTTGAAATAATGAAATGGTGTCTTGTACTTTTCAATTAGGGTAGAAAAGTATTGCGAAGAAATTAGTACTTAGTAGAATATTTTCTGGGCCACCTACGCCTTATCCGACAGCTTCAATTTATTGAGCAAAAGTATGAAGAAGGTGTATTATAATAATCAACATTACCGTAACAAAATTGTGCTAAAAATTAAGCTTAATAGTACCCATCGGTGCTTAAATATCAGGTTGCCATGAAAACATTGTCGCCTTCAGCAGGCTTTTTGAGGCACATGATAATTCTCAAGAACAAGAGCGAACTACGCTCTCTTCACAAACATCGGGATATCTAGTACAAGATAACTTGATGTTCATGCCGCAAATTAAAGAAAAAACAGTAATGACGTCTTCGATTAATATGCATACATACGCTGGAAATGACCAACGATTACACTGGTTAAAATTGAAATCATTTACTAAAAACCGTCATTCACGTTTCTAGGTTTGCTTGTTCTTACGATGCCTTTAACCAAAAATTTATATTATGACTGTGGCGTTTTGAAGTCGTGCGTAGCCGTGGTAAGGAAAAATTTAACTGCTCTGGTATCATAAAGGCTACAAGTCAGGAGTAGCTTTGTTCAAACATTAACTTTCGTATTAGGCCCACATAGGTTCACGTCAAGCCCCTAACCATTTATGTAGAATTAATTTGGGTCTTGGTCAGCTCAAATGCTGAGACTAGTCTTACATTGAATCAAATGCTTAGAAAATCTTGAAAGAAAAATTAAGTTTTGCTAGGAATCGATAAAATTTTTGAATATTTCAAAAAAGATACTTTTGACTAATTTTGCGTTAAACGAGAGAAATTATGTGACTGTAAATTCCATATATCCGATCGAATTAATGGGCGTTATAAGTGAAAAGTTCAAATCTTCAAAATCTAGCAAAAGTTGTGCAGGCGAATCTCTAAATCTCTTACGTCAGCCAAGCGGATATCATTGAACCCAATCAAAGCGATAATGACGTCCAAAGAGGAAGATATGCCTCCTGTGCAAACAAATTTGGTGCATCAGTAGAAATAGAAACGAACTAAAGGTAGCCCATCTTCATCATCTCCGTAGCAACGACAATGTTCATTGTAATCTTGTTAGAGAATCCAAAATATGCAATCCATTCCGGTGCAGACAGAGAAGCAAAAGAGCTAGAAAAGGTACAGATAGTTAGTTGTTGGGCGAAAGATTCTTCATTTTCTCCTGTGAAATTAACTTCATTCTCTCAACTGATTTCAATTCTAATCTATAAGAAGAGAAATCGTACATAAAGTCTATAAAATTGCTATACATCTTTGAGTCACCTTTTGCTATGAACAGGCCCCAAAATGTGCGCAGTGTTGGTCGTCGACAACTCCCTTGCTTTCATGAGTTTTGCCGATCTTCAGGTAACATTCTGTGGTGTTGACTCCATCTTAGATTTACAGTATAGAGAGAATCTCCGTTATCTCCTTGTTACTGTAGGATTACGAAACCCATTGAAAGTCGCATTTTGCCCAGAAAAGAAACCAAAAAACCGAATCTCTTACGTTAGGCTGATCAAAGTCGCCTATTCCAAATATGAGATTTGTGCATCATAGTCATGCTTTTATCATAAATATTCCAGGTAAACTAGTTCTTTTCCGATGTTCTTCGAAAATTCGATTACACCACTATAGAAGCTCAGAATGAATTCAACATGCGTGAAAACCATGCTAATTTTCAATTGGCCAAATTTGCAATGGCGCTTTAAGCTGAAAGTTCATACCGTGATCTTACACTAACAAAGAAAATTCGGAGATTCTTAAATACTGTCAATCTAACTTGAAGCGAGCTATACGAATGATCT